GAAAGAAAGCTGACATTCTATTTTATATAGTATCAAAGATGGATAGCACAGTCCAAAGCATATTCATTCAGAAGGACATCTCAATTCAGTAAAACATACATTCCCAAAAGGATAAAGACAACAGCTTAGTATATAAAAGAAACACAAGAGCCTTGATCTCTAATTCTTAATTTACTATTCAGAAGAATTCTTCGTATTAATTAGGGATCCAGTGTATTCAGAAATAAGGTACACTCTAAGCGTGCAACAATTGTTAAATCAAGACATATGTATTCTTAAATAGATATAGCATTTAACCATTCTTGTTTATACATGCACAGAACAATCCGTAGTACAATGGGAAGTCCAGCTGTTCCCAAAATGTTCATTAGCCATCTGAGAGGAGCGGTGATTAAACATTGATATCAGAATATTTTATTATGGCTTTGTTCCTCTTACTGCCACATTGTAGACCTGTAAAAAACAGGAAATATTTCACACTGTGGAACTATTTTGAGATTGCAGAGTATGAGTTCTTCACTATACAGAACTAGTAAAGCTTAGGATAAGAGACTTGAGCACAATTGGATAACACTTTTAAAATAGGCAGCTTGCTATAAAATAGCATGAGGGAGTAATTATTGTCCTGATATTATTTAATTTTTGGAGTGCTACTTCAGCCCGAAAAGAAATGGTGTATACCTGTTTCCTGATCAGAAAACAAAGAATGCATTGGCTCAAATGGAAAAGATTCATATGCATATCAATATGCACATCACAAACACAATACTGTTGCATGATCACATATACTATTAAATCAAATTTAATGTATCTTTGGCAAGTATTTAATGTAACATACCTCTACTAGGCTATTACAGAATAGAATACCAAGTACCTACAAAGTCTTGGAATATCAATTTCCATTGTGTTATAATTATTATACAAAGACTACGGACATATATAATTAAAAATAGGTAAAGCATAACTTGCATTTGCTTACTTTAGCTTTACTGCAGAACTGGATGTAGAAGGTAACAGGAAAAAGAAAGGAAGGCATCAGAAGAACAGGGACCATTCATGCTATGATAATGAAAAGATGTTAAGATATGGAAAAGATATAAGTGGATGGGTTTCTGTCCCCAGTTTGAAGCTGCAAGTTTTCTTTAGAATATGTAGGCACAATTACATTATAAAGTTGTTTGAAGTTGGCAGCAAGGAATTTTTAATTCTCAATTGTGTAACCATAAATAATCCAGTTTCTTCATCCTAAATATGCAAATTATGTGGTCAAAAATACATGAGGGAAAAACAAAAATAGACTTTGTTCAGTTCTTTCAGTTCATTCAAATTTAATTTTTACTTGGAGCTATCAGGGTTTTTTTGTCCTAGACCAACTATTCATTTAATCACTTCCCCAAACCTCCCAGCATGGCAGTCATAGGCTATATGCAGCTGTTAACACTGAAAAGGGTTGGGCAGCTATAACTGTACCTGTTAGTCATCATCATCGTCATCCTCTGGTACAAAGATATCATGTTCTTCAAGCAAAGCTGCAAAACTTTTGCTGATTTGTGTCCCAACGTAGAGAAAGGGAATTACAATGGCAAACACACGAATAAGTCCAAATGGCATCTACAGGGATTAATGAAAAGCTGGTTAATATCTCTTGGCACATATACAAATGAACACATGAACAAATTTATAGCTGCCAAAGTATAACTAGAACTAATGGAAAGAACACAAAGAATCAAACAGCTGCCTCAGTATATTTAACTATTATCTTACTGTACTTATTTTCAGGAGCATTTTTGAAAATTACTTGAAATAAAGAAATCACGAAGCATCCATAGACTGAATAGGTACCCAACACCCTTAGAATAATAAAGATAGTTAATAAAATACATCTTCAGGATGTTTCCTTTGCTGGGCATGAATAGAATAGAATAGAATTCTTTTTGGCCAAGTGTGATTAGACACACAAGGAATTTGTCTCCCTTGCCATAAGCTCTCAGTGTTATGTACAACAATCTACAAGGAAATCTACTTGTTTCAAATTACAAACACAGAGATCAGGGAGCACGACGGTATCTGCGTTTGGATTATCTCAACTTCCATATCCCAGTCTTTGTGCCCGGCTACTTTTTTGGTTCTCAATTTATGCGGGACTTTTGTGTCCCCTCTACGTCAGGGGTCTCCAACTTTGGCAACTTTAAGCCTGGAGGACTTCAACTCCCAGAATGCCCCAGCCAGCAAAGCTGGTAGATGCCTTAAGCAAAACTGGCTGGGGCATTCTGGGAGTTGAAGTCCTCCAGGCTTAAAGTTGCCAAGGTTGGAGACCCCCGCTCTACATCGGTTCTCCTGGAATCCCAACCACTTGTCAGGCGAAGCTGCCGCTGAGTTTCTAAAATAACTGCAGCGCGGTTTTCGGGGATGACAGAATAGGAAACCGCCTGCAACGGGATAATGGCAGCCCTAAAGATAAGACGGCCTGCTGCATAATTAATTGGCCAACCGAATTAACAAAAAGCGTTTACTTCAATCACGACAAGGGCAAGTTCTAGTAATATTTTCTCACACTGATTTAAGGGGGCGGGGGAGCACGACTTGAGCTTTTTTTTTTTTAAGTAACTGTCGCGTGGCGGGGGGCGTCACAGAAAGGAAGAGAGTCGGGCTGCTTCTCCGACACGAAATAAAGTTCTCGCCCTTTAACAACCTGTTATTTCCGCGTCTGCCCCGAACGATTGTTTTATCGCTAGGCAACGGTCGAACACCAACAAAACCCGCCTTCCAAATAAGCTACACGCGATTGGCTGAGACAACCTGCCAATTTACCCCATCCTTGCTAAATGATTGCTCGGTTTGTTCCCACCCGTTTCTCCTTTTAGAAGCCACGACTATCTTTCACGCTCAACTCACTTTGACGGGCTTAGGCAAGATGGCGCCAGTCCGAGTGACGGTCATATTTCGTGAGGATAAAACTGTTGCTAAGGGCGCCTTCTGATTCTCGACGGGTCGCGACCTTGCCCAAGAGCCAGCCGTTGACCACAACCGCGAAGCCATCTCCTCTAGGCAGCTCCTCCCCTAGGAATCGGACACTTTCTCGATAACCGGAACTAGCGACAGTGGGCGGTGCCTTTTCAAACCTCGCGAGATATCAATAGGCGGAAGGAGAGATTATTTAAATCGCGGGTGTCTGAAAAGTTTGAATTAGGTGTTTTTTTTAGTTACCGTTTAAATGACATGTTTAAATTCTTCTGGAGCGGCATTGAAAGTTACCAATAAAGATAGAAGAATTTAATAGCTTAGTAACGGAATTGTGTCTTATTTTTGTATCTCTGCTGTCCTCTTGTGGTTCGTTGGAGTCTTGTAACCTGGGCTTTCCAGGCTTATTTCTCAGTCTCTTCCCTTCATCTTCATGTGAATTGGGCTGGGCTGCGGGAGGGTGGGGGTGGGGGGTCAGAATGACCAAGGTTTTGGTCTGGATTCAAGTCACCTTTATCTGATTGTTGCCTTTATAAACGATCTTACCTCTGCCTTCCAAGGTCGTCCTCTATGAAATTTAAACAGGAGAGGGAAAACATGAGTGTGGCTTCTGGATTTAATTCCTTATAATAGTGATGGGAAGGTAGATGGAGGTGGGCTAAGAATGGAGACCTCAGCAAAGTTCTGGATTCCTGGTACAGTAGAACCTCTGGTCACAACCATATTTCGTTCCATAACTTTGGTCGCAAACCGATTTGGTCATGACTCAAACCTAATTTTGGAAATTTGGTGCTTACAAAAAAAATGGCGCTGAAGGGGAAATCAGCTGCAGAAAAAAAAAATTGTGAATTTTTGGGTTGGAACCCGATTTGGTCGTGGTCAGAAGCATTCGTGACCAGAGATTCTATTGTATTTTCTTTGCAGCTTCTGGCCAGTTCCAGTCCAAATTAACCCTGTACTACAAAGAAAAGACCTGCTTTCCACTTTAAAGTCAGCTAACCCTTCTAATTCTTCAAGGTGCACTTTCACCCTGTTTTGTTCCCCAAATTCCCTTTGAAAATTTTAAAGCCTACCTTGCTGCCAACTTTGCTGCAAGCATTCTGTTATCTGTCCAATAAATAAATGGTTCCATGATTGGACATTCAACCAATGCTCCTCACTTCACATGCTTCATGTTCCATACTACAGTGGCCCCCAACCTTTTGGGTACCAGGGACTGGTTCCATGGAGAGAGATTTTTCTGTGGACTGGAGGGGTCGTGGTTTCGTGTGCTGCCTGCATCCCACAGATGGGGCTTCACTTGTTTGCGCAGCCCAGTTCCTGGTATGCCACGGACTGGTGCCAGTCCATGGACTAGAGGTTAGAGACTTTTGCTGTACTTCCACTGTGATGGGAGGTTGAAGCCAGCAAGGCCCTTTTTCTCTGCATAAAGGATTGGTGAAATCCTAGCTATTAGATAGCTGCTGAACCTCCCAGTGACAGTGGTGGTGGTGGAGGGAGTATCTAGAAACAGGCAAACAGAAGTTCCCTTTTAGTGAAAAGTTCCTTCTCAAGAGCTCCAACATGCCTACTGTAAAAAAAATTCCATTACAGCAATTCTTCTTATACTGTGGTTGAGCTGGAGAAAAGTCAATTCAATCATCAAGTTTAGATAAGGGCATAGGAATGTGCAGAAGCTAAACTGATAAGAGCAGCACAAACAGCATGTAGACGCACCCTCCCATTCCAAACAAGAAGATAAAAACAGAAAGTGATAACTTTACCAAAAATATATCAATAAAGAATAAAACTGCAATTTTGGGAATCACTACAAAATGTGATGGCCTTCCATGATAAGACTTTGCAAAGATAAATTATCAGAGACTGCCACATGACAATCTATATGCTATTTCTAAATGCCAGTTGCTTGGGGGGAACAGCTGAGAGGCATTGGTGACCTCTCTTTTTCTTATGGGCCACAGACTGTTAAGTTTCTTTATTCTTTTACAAATGTATAATTTTGATAAACCTTTCAACTCTAAAGTAAAAAGTTTTCTCAATACTTTTAAAACCAACACATTTATTATTTCATATTTTTGTGTAAATAAAGTAAAACATGATTCATGAAAATCTGTGCAATTCATAAATTTGTTTCCAATGTAACATACTTTTCTTTGGGTTAAGATAGACACCCTTCTGGAAAGTATAAAGTAAGTGTACACTGCTTTAAAAAAATAATTAAGTTTGAGCCACAAATAATTATGAAATAATATTGTATCTTCCTATTTTGGATAAAATGCAATTTATAAAACACATTTTATTTAAAATAACATGCAATGTATATGTAATATAACATTACCAGAATGTTATAGGAGGTTATTAGCTTTATTATACAATTTAGCATGCTTTTTTTAAACTACTAATAACAGTGTTATTGGTTGTGATCAAAACTACTGGAGGAAAAAATGAACCAGGTATAAGTCACATAAAGTAATTCATACAATTCCCCGAACTTAATTTTACGAGTAGGTATCATGGCAATTTAGTTTTATCTTACTGAGCAGTCAAGATAATTCTTTTTCTTTCTGAAATAATAATCTTAATTAGATTATTGCAAATGACCAGTAAACTACTGGTAAGTATATAACTGCTGGCTATTACTAATGCTGTATTAATCTGTAAGGTAATAAATAATTCTTGTTTCATTAATTCAATAATTAGTTATGTTCAAGGTCATAAATGTAGGCCATTAAATTGTGAATGGGCCTCCACAACCAGAAAGCAGCAGAATAATAGATTATGAATGCTGAACACTAAATTAAACTCATAATCACATGAAATTATGTAAGATTGGTTTGGATGAATATTTGTCATTAATCTGTAGCAATATTATGGATGGAACTAGAACAAAGTACCAAAAGCAACAAATACATTTAGTCGAGTCTTAGGAAACTATTGTATAAAAGTGATATTGAGGGATGATTAGATTATCACACATTACATTAACAATTTGAGAGCAGCTGCTGTTATTTGGCTTTTGATATCTAGATTGTGTTGCTTGGGTAATCTTACTTGTGCTTTTTCTGCCTTTTGTGTTAGTATACGTAATCCTTGATTTATTACAATTGACCCCAAAATTTCTGTTGGTAAGCAAGACAGTTGTTAAATGAGTTTTGCCCCATTTTACCTTGTTTGCCACAGTTAAGTGAATCACTGCACTTGTTAAGTTAGTAATGTGCTTGTTAAGTGAATCTTACTTCCCCACTGACTTTGTTTGTCAGAAAGTCACAAAAGGTGATCATGTGACCCCAGGATACTGGAACTGTCATAAATATGAGTCAGTTGCCAAGGGTCTGAATTTTGATCATGTGGCCTTGGGGATACTGCAACGGGGTTGGTGTGAAAAACAGTCATATTTCAGGGGTGGGTTGTACTTACCTTTACTACCAGTTCGCAACGGGGCTGCATGCGCATGCTCAATTCACTCGCGCGTGCATGCTTGTGCTTCTGCACATGCGCAGAAGCTTCCTGATGACGTCGGGGTCGGTGGGTGGAGCTTCCCGCCGGTTTTACTACCGGTTCTTGTGAACCAGTATGAACCGGGGGCAACCCACCACTGTCATATGTCAATTTTTTCAGTGCCAACAAACTGTTTTAATTCAATGTCTGTATATGAAGATTAAGTTCCAAAAGATAGAAAAAGCACAAGTAAGGTCAGCTAAAGGCATACCTAAGGTATGACTATGAATCATATACTGTTCTTACGTTTTATGAGGGCTGCCCAGTGTTGCATTTGACTCTTATGAGATGGAAGTTCCTGAATAATATATATATTGACTATAAATTCTTGAGATGGTCTTAAGGAAGCAACTTTTCACAGCTTTGTCCTCTTCTGCATGAAAATCTAAAGTATATGAAAAGCCTATAATTAAAATATAACATATAAATTGTATGATCTGTTTTTTCTAATGAGTAATTAAGCCAACTCACTACTATACTGTTCCAGCAGCTATCAAAATAGCTACAATATACAGATGAAATACAATTAATAGTACTACATGGAGCAAAAAGGAGGAAATGACACATGGATTCTTCTCTTGCATCAAGAAGTAGACTTTCTGAAATAAAGTTCTGGAACATTCTTTTGAGCTGATACAGCAATTTCTTAAAAATATCTTCTTGAATTCTGAATGGTGCATAATTAAGAGTATGCTGTTTTTAAAATTCCTGGCAATAACATGTAGTGACAATAAATAATAGAAAGCAGACTTGAATTAATCATCCAGTCTGGAAGATGCAATAATGGTGTTTCTTAGATTTTATAAACTAGGAGTAAAACCTGGAAGTAAAATAAGGACTCCTGTCTTGGGCAGGGTGTTGTACTATAAGACCCCCAAGGTCCTTTCCAGCCATATGAGAATCACTTATAGATTCAAGGGGGCTTGCAGAAACCTACCTTAAGGTCCATTTCTCTTCAGTCCTGCAAAATGCATTTTCTTCAATGTGTTCCTATTTCTACTGTCTTCTTTCTTTCCATCCACTCTCTTCTCACCTCTGCAATTTCCTGACCATACCAATTATGCAACTTTGAGAAGCAGGTAGTCTCTGGAGATACTGGACTTTCCTGTGTGGCAGAGGCAGACCCAGCCAAAAATGCTCCACCTACAGCACTGCCTATCAGTTTTCGACGAGGTGGTAAAGGTGGGGGCTTCAGAAATCCTTCACTGAGATCAGAACTTGCCATTTCTGCATGAGTGCAACTACTGTCCCATGTGGAGTAACCATTCTCCAAGATGACAGGATGCTCTTGAATGGATATCATCATGGGATTTGATAAATGCCTTTTGCGGCCTGAAGACAGTTTCTTTGGTGATTTATGGCTAGCAGCTAAGCTCCTCTGAGCATCTTCCAGCTGTTTCTCTAGTTCCTTGACTACTAGCCTCATATAATCAAAGCTGGCCCGTGAAAGTGCCTTCACCCAAGCCTCCATGGCAACTTGGCAGTCGGCAACCAACACATAAGATTTGCCACCACTGCTATCAAAGCGGATGGCAAAAGCAAATTCCTCAGCAGCTTCGCATAGTTCCACTGTGCATCCCTCTAACACAATGAGACCCAGGGGGGTCTGGGTCTCCCGCTCTTCAAAGTAGAACAGCAAGTTGCCCTTGAGAATGAACCAGCGGCGCTGGTAAGAGGGGACATGATGGTTGTGGTGATGGCGCTCCATTCGCTTGCACAGAAAGCCAGTATGATCGGCTGGAGAGTCACATGTGGCATAATGTACCACGCTACGTTCATTGAGTTTCATTGTAGTAATATCTGCCTTCCAGAACAGAATGAGAAGAAATGTACTGAATTATCACATGATGCGTATTATTAATCCAGATAAAACTGAATATAAAACTATGCATACACATATGAACTATTGCTTTAAAATACTGATTGCCATTTGGGGTGATTATATGCAGATGGCCATCACAACCGTGCAGGCAAAGGCATGACTCTTTTTATGTGCACCCCAAACATGATCTATTAAAAAGAGGCAGGGCTTCAATCATGTCATCATGCACACCACTTTTAACACCCACTTTCCAGCGGATGATCCTGTCTGTTGTTTAACCTTCCTTTCTAAGGATCTTATTGTGGATATTTATAAAGTAGCAAACTCTATGGAGCTTGCTCAATAGTAGTAACTGTGAGAGGGATCTTGGAGTCCTAGTGGACAACCATTTAGATATGAGCCAGCAGTTTGCAGCAGCTGCCAAAAAAGCCAACACAGTTCTGGGCTGCATAAACAGAGGGATAGAATCAAGATCACGTGAACTGTTAATACCACTTTATAATGCCTTGGTAAGGCCACACTTGGAATACTGCATTCAATTTTGGTCGCCATGATGTAAAAAAGATGTTGAGACTCTAGAAAGGGTGCAGAGAAGAGCAACATAGATGATTAGGGGACTGGAGGCTAAAACTTATGAAGAATTGTTGCAGGAACTGGATATGTCTAGTCTGATGAAAAGAAAGACTAGGGGAGACATGATAGCAGTGTTCCAATATCTGAGGGACTGCCACAAAGAAGAGGGAGTCAAGCTATTCTCCAAAGCACTTGAGGGCAGGACAAGAAGCAACGGGTGGAAACTAGTCAAGGAGAAAAGCAGGAGTGAAATGCTCCCAGTTCGGACCGGATCGCCCGATCCGGTAGCGATGGCGGCAGGTGGTTCGGAGAACTGGTAGTAAAAATCCCTGCCTCCCCCCCCCACATGCTCAGCTGAGCTGCACGATCATCAGAGGTTTTTTTTTTTTTACTTTTAAAAGCATTTTTTCTACAACTTCTTCCAACAAAAAATGCTTTTAAAGGTAAAAAAAAGCCTCTGATGATCGCGCGGCTCAGCTGGGATCATCATAGGCTTTTCATAGCATTTTTTTCTGCAACCTCTTGGCCGAAGAGGTGGTAAAAAAAATGCTTTGAAAAGTCTCTGACGATCCCAGCTGAGTTGCCTGATCAGCAGAGGCTTTTCAAAGCATTAGAAAAAATGCTTTGAAAAGTTGGAAAAAAAAAAAGTTGGTAGACCCCAATTCTGCTCTTTTTAGGCTGTTAAGACCTGTCTTTACCCCTAGATATTTGGATCCAACAGCAGTCCCTTTTGGTTGCTTTTCATAACAGTATTGGGCTTGATCACCATTTTTTATCTAATATTTAATAAAACCCAGTTTGAAAAAAATGGACTCACCTATTGCCCAAATCAGAATGACTATGGAACACAATGCCCAAGGAATAGCCAGCAGAGGGATGCCCACACCGGTCTAAAGTGGCCAGTAAGTGCCAGGCTGATCTTACCCCTGACTACACCACAAAGGAACAACTGGTGAAGCATGTGGGATTCTAGCTATCTGTCAGGAAAAAGTGGAAACACTAACGGCAAGGACCCCCTAAGGCAGCCTGAGATATGAACTGGGAATCAGATGAAGGCACCGTCCTGAGGATACAAAAGAAGTTGTTGCAGTTATACAGGTTCCTAACAAACCTAGCAGACAACTTTGTTTCCCAAAAAGTAGAAAGGGAACAAGGGGATCAGCCATATTGGACTTAATTCTCACTAACAGAGATGAAATGACAGAAGGTGTTGAAGCTACAGGAACCTTGGGGGCAAGTGGGGGCAATATTGGAATTCAACATAATGCAAGCACAAGTAGTAGAACTAGAGTCTTGGACTTTAAGAGAGCTAATGTCAATAAAATTAGAGAGAGCTTGGGAAAGATTCCATGGATGAGAATCCTCAAGGGGAAAACAACTCAAGAAGCTTGGGAAATTTTGAAAAGTGAGATTATAAAAACCCAGTCTAGCACAATACCAATGAAGAAGAAAAATAACAGCCAACACTCCAGAAGTTACTCCAGGCTTACGATACAGAAGGATCTTGACAGACTTGAACATTGGGCGCTATCTAACAAAATGAAATTCAATGGTGAAAAAAGTAAGGTTCTACATTTATGCAAGGAAAACAAAATGCACAGGTACAATATATGTGGTACTTTGCTCAATAGTAGTACATGTGAGAGGGATCTTGGAGTCCTGGTGGACAACCATTTAGATATGAACCAGCAGTGTGCAGCAGCTACCAAAAAAGCCAACACAGTTCTAGGCTGCATAAACAGAGGGATAGAATCAAGATCACGTGAACTGTTAATACAACTTTATAATGCCTTGGTAAGGCCACACTTGGAATACTGCATTCAGTTTTGGTCGCCACGATGTAAAAAAGATGTTGAGACTCTAGAAAGAGTGCAGAGAAGAGCAACAAAGATGATTAGGGGACTGGAGGCTAAAACATACGAAGAACGGTTGCAGGAACTGGGTATGTCTAGTTTATTGAAAAGAAGGACTAGGGGTGACATGACAGCAGTGTTCAAATATTTCAGGGGCTGCCACAAAGAAGAGATAGTCAAGCTATTTTCTAAAGCACCTGAGGGTAGGACAAGAAGCAATGGGTGGAAATTAATCAAGGAGAGAAGCAACTTAGAACTAAGGAGAAATTTCCTGACAGTTAGAACAATTAATCAGTGGAACAACTTGCCTGCAGAAGTTGTGAATGCTCCAACACTGGAAGTTTTTAAGATGATGTTGGATAACCATTTGTCTGAAGTGGTGTATGGTTTCCTGTCCAAGTAGGGGGTTGGAAGACCTCCAAGGTCCCTTCCAACTATTCTATTTCTATTCTATTCAGTTTTACAGGGCACAAGCTCCAAGTATAAGTGCCACTGTGTTGTAAGCAAGAGGCTGCAAGTTTAATTCCTGGCATCTTCAGGTAAAGATAGGAGGATGAACCCAACTCCTGGCTCTAGAACAGCCCTCTCCAACTTGGGCTGACTGTCCAGATAAGTGGAGCCTGCATTTCAGATAAATAAATTTCCCAAGCGCCTGGGGAAGGCCAAATAGATGGTTTCTCCAGCAGAGTCATGGAGTGTACTTCCTCATCTCAGGCAGTCACGGAACATTCAAAGACTAAAAATTACCCTCGAAATTTCCTTTTTTTCCCTTTTCTCTCAGATAGAAAACCCTTTTCACAACCTTTTAATGACACAGAGGAAAAGGCAGGCTAGTTAGTTCAGGAATGTGTGGAAGTGGAGTGAAGAGGAATCTCCGTATTAACGGAATTGGAAACATTTTTTTAAATTCAGGGACAGGCCTATCCTAAAATGCTTATCCATAATCGTACCTTGTTCACACCACTACCGAGAACGACGTTAGCTTCGGCTTTCTCTGCTCCCTGCTTTTCTTAAGCAGTCGCGTGTCCTCCTTCCTCTGCTGGACTCCCCTGTTTCGGTGCCCTGGTCCTCGGGCAAAACCCGGAGCGTAGGATCATTAGAGCAGAAGCAAATCTTGCCACTATCCTGGGGGGAGGGTTTTTTTTTCGCAATCCAGATTTTCCAATAGCTTCCCGAGGGGAGGTTTTCCTCTTTTTAGCCCCCCCTTCTCGTGGGGTCCTGAAAGCCAAGTACGAAAGAAGCAGGCCGTCTGTCAACAAGTAAAGGCTGCTCCATCGTTTTTCTCTCCTGCGCGGTAGTATCGCTTTGCATTTAACATAAATCGGGTGGGTAAGCTCCCAAGTCAGCCGAAGTTTTCTCTTCGCAGCCCGAAGAATGTTGCTTTCACTTGGAGAACCTGTATTTGAGACATAAGTGATATTTATTTTTCTATGCACTCCCACTTTTCCTCCAAAAACACATGGTCACGGATAAGAGTCCCTCCCTCTCCCATTTTGTTTTTCCGACAATACGGAGGAGATCGGTTGGGAGGCGATTTCAAGTCACCTGCGAGATTGGTCACTGACTGGCATTTGAATTTCGTCTTCCCCAGTCCCCGTCCAACCTCCCCTTGGTGTAACTCCTTGTCTACCACAACGCATCACCTGGAAGAGGCGAGGTAACTCCCCGTTGTGACTACTCGTGTCCTACCTACCTATAAACCCCAGCCTTTTTTTAGTGCGTTAGTTTTATTTTCGGCCGCGAGGGGGCATCGCGAGGCCACGAGTACATCTGAACCAGACGGAAGTCAGGAAGCAAACAGGATCCGCAAGCAATTGCTAGGAGGCGGATTGCTTTAGCTGGGCGTCGTGAGTCGGTCGTATATCTGAGGAACGCTTCTCAGTGTGGGCTGGCACTGGAGAGTACGTGTTAAAAATATTAATGAAGTCGACTTTCTGAGTCCGAGAACGATAGTTAATGAACGAAAGGTATTGCATACCTGTTCAGAAGGGAGAAGTACAACTGCTGCAGCGGGATTTGAAAAAGATGAAAAAAAGTGGACTGAAATTAGGCATTGCTTTTTGTTTCTTCTCGGCTTCCCCTTCCCATCTCTGAAATGAACTCATTAGAAAGAGAGAAGACAACCTGTAGTGGCCCAAGAAATTCTGCAACACCTCCTAGCTCTCCTCCTCCCAAATTCAGCAGAGACGTTCCAATGCCTTAAAATAGGATTTGTTTCCATTAATGGGAGCAGACTAGTTTGTAGGTACAACATAAGGTATGTGATGTGTTCTGTCCCGTCTTAAGACATACTTTGGTTCTCTCAAGGCTCTGCCTAACATCTGCTTGCTGCTCAAACACATTCTGCAGTTGAATTATATTACTATCACAGAGTACCAATCATGCATGGACACACAAAAAAAGCCCACTTAAGCTATCAGTCATTTTATTTAAGCTGGAGCCTTTGCCACCACTGTTGATCTTGCCATGCTCTTAAAAAACGCCAGCATTTCTGGAGCTGGAATATCACTTGGGAACAATTTGAGATTGAATAGAAAATTGGTGATGGTAGGAAACCTGTACTTGGCTGAAACAGAAATCGCATGGTGCCTAGTAGTAAGTAGTAAGGCCAGCCTAGTTATTCAGACATAGTTCATCTTTTCATTCTATATTCTCACCTGTCATAGCTAATATTTACTAGAAAGGGGGAGAGGATGGGTGAGTTTAAAACAGTGCAGAAAGGGACAAAAGAGATCTGAAGAATGGATTCTGTAATTAACCTGCCACCACTGGATATTCACACTTGCATCTCTGGTTCATGCTATGTTAATTCCTCAGGCATAGGCATAAAAGCAACCTGAAGCCACTTTTACTAGTTTGTTTTGTAAACCTTGGACCACTTCAGCTCATAAATGTGTCATCGGAAGAATGTCCTGTATTGTGAGGAGACATCCAAGCAAATTATTCCACCTAAAACTTTTGAGGCAAGGCACTTTCTTAATGTCCCTCTTTATCCATTAGAGTAATAAACAGGGGATGCATCTCTGCTAAGGGACGTGAAAGAGACGGGCACTACTCTGAACCTTGGACGATCCAAAACCTCCCTTGGAGAAACGGCGCATGAACTTCAGTTCCGTCCAGCGCAGAGTGAAAAGGGCTGAGCTCAAACGACGCTCGCGTACACGTGTCACAGGGAGCGTCTGCTTCCTCTTCTCCTCGGGACAAAAGCGAGGGCGGTGGCGGAGTTGACGGGGCGCTGAGATCAGCAGTTTATCGACTGTACTGGGGGAGCGATCGAAGGGATCAGCTGATCTGTGGAAGGAAGGAAGGAAGGAAGCACGTGATTAGCAGCCTTGTGCAGGGAAGCGACCGACTTGCAGGCTTTCGTTTGCGGCTGATGCAGTACTGGTTGCGGCTTAATGTCTGATAGCGTAAGTGTCCCGAATGTGTCTTGAAGTTTGGATGGCTGATATTACGGTCGGAATGGGGAACTGTCTTTTTCTTCTTCTTTTGTCTGATCAAAGATTGCAGTGTATGAAAAGGAACAGAAAAACGAATTAATTGTTCCAAGAGCACCTACTGATTACGATTACAGTTATAGATTTGAATTAATTTGGGCCGTTTGTGCCATCCATGAAATATGCTTTCATTAAATGATAGAAATACCGAATTTACACAATTATGTCCCCCCACTGTCTTGATGCATCCGGAAGAAGGCTTCTTTGTAAATGCAGAAGCTGGCTTGCAGCAGCCATGGGCAGAAGGAAAGGGGTGGGGTGGGGGTGGAGGATGGATACCTGGGAATTTCATGGCCACAGCGATAGATTTGACAACAGTTTGCAAAAAAAATTCTATTGCCTTCCTTCACGATTTTTTAACTTTCAGGTTAGCCCACCTTAATGGTTTCCCATTCAGATATAACCAGGTCCAGCTGGGCCAGGTGCTGCAATTCTGTTTCATCCCAAACAAGAACATTGCGTGTAATGCATCATTGCCAAGTTGGAAGTGGAACCAGGCGTTATGCCTGATTCTGCATCTGCACATCCCAGAAAGGTTTAAATTATTCATATGAAGCTACTTAACACTGAGTACATAAGATTTATCTTAGTGAAAACTATAATCACATGATTGAAAGTAGGTCTCCACAGACCTCTGGCTGTGCTGTCTGAGATTCTTTCATAGCAGATGTCAGAGAGTGAACTTGGGAATTGCTATATGCTAATTATCCTACCACAAGCCAACTTTCCTAACTTGATGCCTTTCAAAGTGCCAGGCTGTGTCATTTCATGAACTCCACAGAGATGTACAGCACTTAATTTAGTGAACCTGAGGATTCAGCATCTTCTTTATAAAAGTGTAGTGTAATAGATGCTAGTTAGGAATGCTGTGTCTGTAATTTTGCTTCCATCATTGTGTGTGCTTCAGGATCCTGCTCTAACAGCAGCATGAGTCCCAGAATGCAACACTGGGAACTTGTGTGTGTGTTGTGGTGCGAAACAGGGAAGGGTAAGTAGAATCCAGAGTCAGTGTCTTTTTCAATTGTTGTCATACAAGTTTGCTGAATTCCTCCTGCAAATTGGGTGGGTCACTCTCAGATACCTAAATCACAAATAAGAGCGATAAAGAGCATGTGGATTATAGATAAAATAGCCAAAGAAAAGAGCATTGTGCTGATGGCAACTAGTGGCATTATAGTGTGAAATGGAACAGTATTGGTTGAGGCACTGTTTTAGAAAGTAAATTTAGACAGAGCTGGCATAGGGTGGTTGGTAGATGGATGTGAGCTTCTACCAGGGCTGTAGTTTATTATTTGAAAAGGTTGTTTTATTGTATTGTGTTTGCATTTTGTTTGCTGCCCAGAGTTATTTTGGATAAGCAGCTATATAAATTTCTTTAACAAATAAATGTGGGGTATATCAACAGTGCTCTTAAAATCAGTGATAAGATTTAAAATAATATGCAAGAGAGAGTCAATTTGGTGTAGTGGTTAAAGCACCAGGATAGCAACCAGAGGTTGTAAATTCTAATCCTACCTTAGGCACAAAACTAGCTAGATGACCTTGGGTCTCAGCCCTAGAAAAAAGGCAATGGCAAAATATTTCCAAAAATCTTGCCAAGAAAATTGCAGGCCAGTTACCAAAATCAAATTTCACTCAAAGGAAAGAAAAAAGAGCAAGGACTTAATGACAACTTATAAAATTTTATCTTGGTGATATGCATGTTTTGATTGTGTAAGATGTTCGTTTGTTCTGAAGATGATAACCCTAGTTTCCGGGTACAAGGCAAAAAAGGTAACTGTCTAATTGAAGATTTCAACATTTTTTTTTTAAATTTGATTTATATGCCGCCCTTCTCCGGAGACTCAGGGCGGCTTACAATGCGTTAAGCAATAGCCTTCATACTTTTGTATATTTATACAAAGTCAGCTTACTGCCCCCACAAATTGGGTCCTCAATTTACCTACCTTAGAAAGGATGGAAGGCTGAGTCAACCTTGAGCCTGGGGAGATTCAAACTAGCAGTAATTGCAGGCAGCTGAATGATAATAACAGGCTATTATTCTGCTGCGCCCCCAGGCTCTTACAACATTTCACTGCTGCATATCGTGAAAGAAAGAAAAAAGGGTGCAGGTGGAACTGAAAGCTTATAAATATTTAACTTCATTAGATATGGGTGAATATTTCCTTATGTTTCCTCCCCACTCTGCCCATCTCTTTTGCAGTGGTCACCCCTCAAATCCATGGTCATGAAATGCGTTGCCTTCCTCCTTCTACTCCATGCCTTTTCCCTGGCTTTGGAAAATGGACTTATGAGAACACCCCCAATGGGGTGGCTTGCTTGGGAGCGCTTTCGTTGTAATATTGATTGCAAGGCAGATCCTCATAATTGTATCAGGTGAGTGGAAGAACCTTGGAAACGGTACAAAATCCAATCTTTTTCCAGATATGTTCCTGAGTTTCAAAATCCTGGGATTCAAGATGAGGGATGGCATGAAACCTAGAACATGTCAAGCTCCAGGGCAGCATCTGCCTCCCCTAAAAGTCTTCGTGCTTCTCTGAATCTTGTTGCCAAACTGTAATTTAATTTTCTCATTGTGCATAGTTGAGAAAAGAATGCTGAATCGTTCTGCTGTATAAAATATTAATGAAAATGAAAATATGAGGAAATCACTAATTAAGTTACCTTGTATACAAACATGTAGTTGTTTGACAAGAACCAATACAAGAGCCCAGCCTACAAGCTTTTAGTTTATTCTCATAGTGACATTGGTTGAGTGGGGCATATTTTAAAGAAAAAATAAGAAAAGGATCCTGTCCATAAAGAAGAGCGTTGATGAAAACATAATATTGTAGGAATCTCTACTTTAATTTTACTTCCAGATTATTGCAGCAAAATATTAAGTATGAAAGAGTGGTAGTGTGGACCTGACAGAGAAATGAACCTTTTTATCTATTATGGAGAGTAAACTACTGCATGACTGTGGCAGATTATGTCAGTACAGTGTGAAGCCTGACAATGTCAGAACAGTAATTTTTATGCTGATAGTTCCCAATGGCTATTCTGCATTGTCCACTTGGCTTGCTGTTCTTGTTTCCTTATAAACTGCTTTTCCATTTGTGGGACAGTGAGACTCTCTTCATGGAAATGGCCGACCGTCTGGCAATGGATGGTTGGAGGGAGCTGGGCTATGAGTACGTGAATATTGATGATTGCTGGATGGCAAAGAAGCGGAATATGATGGGACATCTGATTCCGGATCCTGAGAGGTTTCCCAGAGGGATCAAAGCCCTGGCAGATTATGTAAGTGAATATTTCTGAGGTGAGAGTGAGATCAAGTGATCCAGCTGTGATTTTAAAAAAAGATCAAATGCTTAGCCAACATTCCAGAGAAATTCCAGAGGAACTTTGTGAATTCTCCAAAAGATCAAGGGCTTGGTTCTTAATTGCTGTAGAAGATTCTTCAGGTCTGGCCAATTTTCAGCCATAGACCGGGATTTGTACAGTAAGTTGAGCTGAGTGAAAGCACTTTTGCTCTAAGTCAGCGGTTCTCAACCTGGGGGTCACAACCCCTTTGGGAGTCGAACGGCCATTTCACAGGGGTCGCCAAAGCCTTCTCTCGCCCCCCCCCACGCCTTCACTCACCCTCACTCTCTGCTCTGTTGGATCACCGGCCGTTCGTTTACCCCGCCCACTCCCAATCTATTTCTGCCTCCGGAGTCTCAGCTGATGGCTAGAGGAAAAAAAACTGTTTAAATTCTTGCCGCGGGGCTTCAAAGGGCCGCCCTATAGCCAGTGGTGCAGCCGAACCGTTTGTTAAATTGCTGGCTTGCCCCGCCCCTCCGCACCACTATTTATTGCCAATAAATAGTGGTGGGCGAGGGGCGGGCAAGCCAGCAATTTAACAAATGGTTCGGTGTTTTTTTGTAATTTTATTGGCCCGCGGAGCTTCAGCATAGGCTAATTAGCCCTTGATTAGATCGGCTCCTGACTCTCAGCTGATTTGCTCTCAGCTGTTTTGCTCAGGGCTCTGCTGCTTCCTTGCAAAGAGTCCTGGAGCAGATTTTTTTTCCCCTAGCTATGCTGAAACATGAAACTGAAAGTAAAGCAGGCTGTTGGCTTTGCTGTTGCTGCAACGTTGGAAAATTAGGCAGGCAGATTTCTTTTCTTTTTCCTCACCAAAAAAGGTAGGTGCAAACAATGGGAAATTTAGGGAAAAAGAGGAGAGTTCAAGATTTTAAAACACAAAAGAAAAAAAGCTCTTTAACTAGAGAATTGTAATAATTGAGATACTATTAATTGTATATTGTGTTGAAAGCAGAAATGGTTAAGTTGTGGTTTGGAGAAATATATGGGGGAAATTATTTGGTTTATTATTACTGGTAAATATAATTAATTGCTTTGTAAGAAATTGGATTGCATGGAAATAATTGGAATATTCATGTTCATATTGATTAATATACAAAAAAGATAGTTATATAACTAATTGATTTATATTAAAATGTTGAATTTATATTAAACAACTGTAATATTACATAATTAACCAATGTGAGGATGGATATAAAAATAGATGACAATGGGAAGGGGTATAATATAGAATAGAAGGGAAAAATTGAATTTGATTAAGATTAGAGATGAGGATGAAGGGTAATATTGGTTTTTACAAAAATAGATGAGGAATAAATATGGCAAAAAGGAAATATAGAAATTGTAAATTTAATTGAAATGAGTAAACACTGTTTAAATTTGTGAACCAGCCAAATACTCTGTTCAAAGTGTTGGAAGAAATCTCCTTCTAGGTTCTGCTCCAAGTGGGGAAAAAGACACTGGAAACATGGAGACTGCTTGGAAAGATGGTTTAATGGAGGACAGGATCACATGGCTTGCGTTCCTGAACAGAAAAGGGCAGATACAGTAAATCCTCGGGTTTTTATGCTCTCTCTGGCTCTGCATTTCTTGGGACCCCAAAAGAGTATCCTGATTGGTTGTCAGACTCCCAGGGGGTGGGGATCTTAGCTAGCCTTGCTGGCTGATGGTCACATGTGCTTCCCAGGTCACATGTGAGTTTCTGTTGCTAGATGGGTAGAGGGCTAATCCTATCTTTATTGGATCTTTGGCAATTCCTACTATGGCTCTGCCTGAAGGAGGTAGATTTTTGTTATGTAGAATAGACTGGCCCAGGCCTTAATGGCCCATTGACAAAGGGTGGGGGCAGGAAGATGGGAGCTGCTTCAAAACATGCTTATTCCAGGGAAATATAATATTCTGCCTTTTTCATATTTCCTAAAACATTTCACTCTTCCAGGAAAGGGGTGGGTGCTAACTTCCTACAAAAGAAAATACATTGTATGTTTGTATGTGTGTTTCTAATTATTGCTATTTATTCATATTTGTTCTCTTTTATTCTTTAAAGTTTAACAATTATTCTTTATCTTAATATCTTTATATTTGTTTGGGGTTGGCTTTCTTCCCTTTCATCTTTTTTATTGTACAGCAATCTTTCTCCTCAAACCTACCACCTCTCTCTTTTCTTTCCTTCTTACTTTCTCTTGCTCCCCCTCTTCTTCTCCTCCCTACTTCCTCTTCCTTTCTCCTCCTCCTCCTCTCTTCCTCCCTCTCTTACCCTCACTCCTACTCTAATTTCCCTTCCCTTCCTTCATCCCTCTCTATTGCTGCATCCTTTTATGCATATGGACTACCCAGAGGGCTGAAAAAGTTATTTCTGACTGATCCTCACACTTTTGACCAGTCCTCGAACTTACGACTGTCCTCACATTTTACGTTTTTGCCCTATCTTGTCACCATGGTGAAGAGAAGCAGTTGTGAAATGAGTGACATGGTTGTTAAGAATGCTACAATGGGCATAAATGATGACCAATCATAAGTGCGAAGACCGGTCAAAAGTGCGAGGACCTGTCAGAAATCACTTTTTTCAGCCCTCTGGGTAGTCCGTTTGTGCATATGGACTACTCAGAGGGCTGAAAAAGTTATTTTTGACTGGTCCTCGCACTTTTGACCAGATCTCGAATTTACGACTATCCTCACATTTTATGTTTTTTGCCCTATCTTATCACTATGGTGAAAAGAAGCAGTTGTGAAATGAGTGACATGGTTGTTAAGAATGCTGCACGGGCATAAATGTGAGGATGGTCATAAGTGTGAGGACCAGTCAAAAGTGCGAGGACCTGTCAGAAATGACTTTTTTCAGCCCTCTGAATAGTCCCTATAAACATAGCCATGGCCACCTGGTCACATGACCAGCTAGCCACGCTCACCCAGTCACATGACCTCCAAGCCACGCCCACAAAATAAGCCACACCCACAGAACCGATAGTAAAAAAATTTAGAACCCACCCCTGGTTGGGGGTCACCACAACATGAGGAACTGTATTAAAGGGTCGCGGCATTAGGAAGGTTGAGAACCACTGCTCTAAGTTATCCAGTGAGGAACATCCAGAGGGCCATGTTGCTGGGCCAGAAACTCTGCATCTAAACCACTTGATTATTCTTCCAATTCAAACTATGTTTTCAAACATAATCCTTGGCAATGGATATTTTTGAAAAGCTCATCAGTTTTCTGTTGTGTCAACCAGCTTGGTACCCTCCAAATATTTGGACCTTCAGTATTCCTAACACATTTCCAGCATAGTGAATGGCTGTGCTGAATAAGGATGATAAGATTTAAAGCCAACATATCTGAAAAGGATTAGATTGGAAAAGAAAGGGTTGGCCATTGAGTAAGAAGCAATAATGAAACATACCTTTTAATTTTTTTCTGTCTGTCATCTTATACAATGATAGGCAGAAGCGCAATTTGAACTGGCCACTCAGTCAGCAGAAATGTTTGAATCCTTATAAAATGGGGAAAATTCTGTCACATAATAAATATTGATGGGGTCTACTGTTTTAAATTGGTTTTTAGTCTGTTTTAGTCTGTTTTAATTTGTATTTATTGGGATTGTTTCGTTTGATGTGAGCCGCCCTGAGTCCTTTGGAGAGAGGGCGGCATATAAATCCAATAAATAATAATAATAATAATAATAATAATAATAATAATAATAATAGTAATAATAGTAATAAATATTGCTGTATCAGTGTTCTATCTAGTTCACATTCGTATCTTTCCATTGATGGAAACTTTTACAAATTTACATACTGCAAAAGAAGAGTTCATCCTTGGGGAGTTTGTTTGGTTAACTAGTTATTCATAGTTTTAACACCCTACTCATTAGGTAACTACTCTTCCAGTAACCAATTTCAACTTAAACTAAAATTGTTGAGATAATCTGCAAATGAGGAGGAAGAGGAGAAGATGAACTTTTGAGGGAAGTGATTAAAAAAAGACGCTCACCAATACCAACAATAACAATGTTTCTACTGTTTCCTCCATTGTATATATTTTTCCTGCGTCTTCTGTCTTGATCTCATAAATCATGACATATTTTGGCAGGTTCATTCACGGGGTCTGAAACTTGGCATTTATGGTGACCTAGGCACCCATACTTGTGCAGGTTACCCGGGTACTACATTAAATTGTACTGAACAAGATGCTTTAACGTTTGCACAATGGGGAGTGGACATGCTGAAACTAGATGGTTGCTACTCATCATCAGATGAACAGGCCCAAGGTAAAGTTCAAAGCTTTAGCATTCCTCTGTTCTGCTTCTTTTGTCAGTGCACCAAAAGCTGCTAAAATAATATATTTTAATTGGCTTTGTTTAAGATGTCAAATGTAGACTTGGGATATTAATTACATTAAGCATCAACCAGCTAAAATAATTTGGTTTAAATGAATTATGACTTTAACTCAAATGGATACTTATTCTTGTTTTCCAAAGGTTATCCTAGAATGTCTAAGGCCCTGAATGCAACAGGTCATCCCATTGCCTATTCCTGCAGCTGGCCAGCCTATCAAGGGGGACTTCCACCTGCAGTGAGTTGTATTTGAGGAAGGATGGGGCTGATCTTAAAGCTTCTGTCCCTTGAACTTCTTCAGAATTTTAAATGAAGGTTTTGCATCACATTTTAACAATTTGGTGTGACATGGGTTCCATAAATGCACTCATTTAATTTGCAAGGGACACACTTCTTTAATCTTGTATTGAGGTTTAGCATCAATCCATCTAGATCTGTTGGCACAATGTTTTAGTTGGTTGAAGCAGTAATTTTTATTAACAAGCTTATTACTATATGTGGTACTACATAATAATATAGTGCTATTGGATGTTACATATTTTGTTAATCATTAGTGATACAGTGATACTGTAATTCTGAGTGATAGTTACTCTGTTAACACATCCTTTGAGCAGTTCTATCCATTTTTCTTTGCTGTGGTGACACAACTATGTTGCTTTAGTTCAGGGGTGTCAAACTCAATTTCATTGAGGGCCGCATCAGGGCTGTGGTAGACCTTGGACCGGCCAGGCATGGCCAGCCTGGTGGGTGTGGCCAACTGGGTGTGCGTGGCCATCTTGATGCCATTCCCCAAACTGCTGGCATGTTTCCTCTTCACATTGGGTAGACGGGGCTGAAGCCATTCTGGCCCGATCTTTCCTCTTCGAATTGGGTAGATCAGGATGGCCCCACGGGCCGGATCTGACCACATCCTGGACCGAATCTGGCCTGCGGGCGTTGAGTTTGACACCCCTGCTTTAGTTGGATAGCAAAGTAATTAAAGCTAATTGTTTAACTTAGGTTTTCTTCTTTCCAATATATACAGTATTTCCCCTATATATTAAATACATCCAGAGGAGCCAAAATGATGTAATTTGATCATCATTTCCAAAAGATAAATCATGCCAAGCTGACTGTAATTATTCTGTTTCATGCATTTGTTTTGTTTTAGGTTAACTATACGCTTTTAGCAAATATATGCAACCTCTGGAGAAACTATGATGACATACAAGACTCTTGGGAAAGTGTGCTCTCTATTGTGGAATGGTTCTCAACAAATCAGGATGTACTTCAGCCAGCAGCTGGCCCTGGCCATTGGAATGACCCTGACATGGTAATGTTGAGCTGAAGAGGATAATATGAAAGCTAAGTGGATGAGAGAGGCTCTCTTTGGAATGCTAAAGCTAGAAAAAAGCTAATGAAGTTGACTGCTGGCAGGAATTTATATGTTCTTTCACCTTGTTTTCAACTCTTGCAGGTAATTTAAGTAGACAAGCCATTTGTGTTACATTTATTATTATTATTATTATTTATTTGATTTATATACCGCCCTACTCCCGAAGGACTCAGGGCAGTGAACAGCCAAACAGTAAAATACATAGATACAAAATTTAAAAAACAAAGTAAAATCAAATTAAACAATTTGGCCCAGACAAATTAAAACACCCCAATCATTTAAAAACCGATTAAAATTTGCATAATTAAAAAGAGGGAAAAGATTAGGCCAGGCCCGCCTGGTGGAATAAAAAGGTCTTAAGAGCGCGGCGGAAGGTGCACAGATCTGGGATCCTCCGTATCTCCGGGGGGAGCTTGTTCCAGATAGTAGGTGCCCCCACAGAGAAGGCTCTCCCCCTGGGGGCTGCCAGTCGACATTGTTTGGCCGACGGCACCCAGAGGAGCCCCTCTCTATGAGAGCGTACCGGCCGGTGGGAGGCTATTGGTGGTAGTAGGCGGTCCCGTAAATAACCAGGTCCTAAGCCATGGAGCGCTCTAAAGGTGGTAACCAAAACGTTGAAGCGCACCAGGAAGACCACCGGAAGCCAGTGCAGCTTGCGCAGGAGAGGTGTTACATGGGAACGCCATGTCACTCCCATTCTTAAATTTGTTGCACATACCCGTTATTTTAATCTCAGTGAGTATAACCTACACTAGAAATACCATAGAAAACCTGAATTCTATTAGTAAAATAATTCATACAAATAGGCATATATTGCTAATTTTTTCAAAAACATGTTACATTGAAAGGATAAGTAGCTATATATTGTACTGATTTGGATACCCTGCGGTCCTTTGAAAATATAGCTTGTTTTGCTTATGTATGGATTTTTTTTTAGTTTTTAAAGCTTCATTATCCCCTTCTACCCTCATTAATTTAGTAATTTTTGTACCTAATGTTTATATTAGGAAACTGACATCCCTAGGATGCAGGACTTAATACAGGTAGTCTTTGACTTATGACCACTATTGAGCCCAAACTTTCTGTTGCTAAATGAGATGTTTGTTAAGTGAATTTTGCTCCATTTTACAACCTTTCTTGCTACAGTTATTAAGTGAATCATTGTAGTTGTTAAGTTAGTAACATGGTTGTTAAGTGAATCAGTCTTTCCCATTGACTTTGCTTGTCAGAAGGTCTCAAAAAGTGATCATATGACCCCAGGACACTGCAATTGTCATAAATAGGAGTCAGTTGCCAAGCATTTGAATTTTGATTGTGTGACCATGGAGTCATACAATGGCCATAAGTGTGAAAAATGGTCATAACTCACTTTTTCAGTGACGTTGTAACTTTGAACAGTTACTAAATAAACTGTTGTAAATCAAGGACTACCTGTAGTTATGTCTGTGTTTATCCAGTGGGATATTGGAATTCAGTCAGCCTTGATATTATTTCCTAAACTTTCTTCTAGAAGAAAATTGGGGAAGGTTAGTCCAATCAGAAGCATTGAGTAAACATACCTAGTTATCTTATTTATTTAGCATATGAGTAAATAAATTAATAAAAAATAATAATAACAATAATAAATAGTCACCTTTATTCAACAAGAGTTCTCTTGAAACCAGTCCATATGCAGCTCTTGTTTTCTTTTGCTTTCATTCTTGACTTTATTACTCACCTCTGGGTTAACCTCTTCTTTGTTCTACAGCTAATCATTGGAAACTTTGGTCTGAGCCTTGAAGAGTCCAAGTCCCAGATGGCTTTATGGACAATTATGGCTGCTCCTCTTTTCATGTCCACAGACCTCCGTGTTATTTCTGAAAGTGCCAAAGAAATTCTACAAAACAAATTGATGATTACAATTAACCAAGATCCCCTGGGAATTCAAGGGCGTAGAATCCTTCAGGTAATGAATACCAAGCGTCTGGAGAACCTGGCGTGAATCCCTGGAATTCAAGGATGTATATTCCTGCTTTTTGACCCCCCCTTATGTGGGAAGATCATTAGTCAAGCCAAGGATATTTATTACTGTACGTTCACGCTCCTCTCTTCTAAGGCGCTTAGGAGACAATATATTATCTTTCAGCAATTTGGCATACTGCAGATCCATTGTCACTGTTGTTTTCTTAATTATCTGTAAGGAAGAATGGTAGGAAGCCTGTGTGTATATGGTGATGTTTTTGGCCCAAATTACAGCACTATGAATTGAGTTAGATTGAATATGAGCTCCATAACTCATAACAATTTTAGTTGAAGAATTGTCTTTTCCTATATGACGACATCACCATTTCCTGTTTATGTCCTGGGAAAGATTGCCTTTAGAAGAACGTGCTTTTCAATCTGATTTTATAGGAGAAATCTCAAATTGAAGTATTTCTGCGGCCCCTTTCCCACTCAGCCAATGCTCTGGTTTTCTTTAGTCAGAGGACAGACATGCCATATCGCTACACAACTTCCCTTGCACAGCTCAATTTTACAACGAACACTGTCTATGAAGTAAGTAAAAAACCCACCCGTATGTGGTCTTCCTCTCCATTGCTGAAAACATTTTATGGGAGGGGGGGATGACAAGCTGACAATCTCAAATACTACACAGTATTGCTTATTTATATTTTGCCCCATGTTATTGAATTTAATATGGCCATATCTTGGCTTTAAAAAAAACTTTAATAATCATGTTATTTTCTGGAGTGATAAAACTATATATAGCAAAATAACTCATAAAGCCTAAACTCCATCCCCTCCCCCAACACTACCATTCATTTGTGACGAAGGAGTAACAAGATTATTTACTATTTTAAGACTTTAGAATTCAAGTTGTACAGCAAATAAGCGTTAGTATTTTTCATTGGGATAAAACATTGCTATGGAACAGCTACTAGAATTTGTGAGTAGTTCCATAGTAGATGCACATATCATTTATCCATTTATCTGCTTTTGTTTTTGCTAGGCACAGGATGTGTACACCGGTGAAATAATCAGTGACCTGAAGATTGCTACCAACTTCACAGTGGTGATTAATCCCTCTGGAGTAGTCATGTGGTATCTGTACCCAACAATGAAGTTGGAGCAGCCTTTCAAGTTCATAAAGCAGCAGGAGAAAGCAAAGAAATTCAGTCCCTTTAATCTGTGACAGCCAGTAGTTGAATAATTTATTGGAAAGCTGCTAAGGATTAACCATTCCCTATTGGTACGCTTGTGGTACCTCAACAGAGGGGGGAAAATGGTTTGTGTAGGATGGCAGTTTTACACAATATATAAATTGAGATCTACCTCTTCACACAATGGAGATGCTATCAGTTCACTAGTATGCAATCCAACACTTCTAAGTAGACATAAATAAGAATATACATGTGTTTTTATTTATGTAGATTAGACAGCTAATGATTGTCACATGCATTGAGATAATCAACCAGAAGCCGGTTGCCCATATATAAGCATAAGAAAAAACCCCATCATAATTTGTATAAGGAAATTCCTATAGGTCACTGAAAGATAAATTTCCTGGATTCCAAAATTGAACTGGAATTGTCCTTTAATGCACAGAATTTCAAACTATTGCACTATAGGTGTTTGCTTGTAATGCTATCAATGATGTCAGTAGCTGAAATAATTGCTAACTTAATAATTGCTAATAATAAAATAACTATTTTTTCAATAGTTGAAAAAAGTTCTTTTTGTTACCATGCTAGCATTTCTTCTATAGTAGCTTCTCTGGCTCGCTTGCTTAATTTTCCAGGATTTTTGTAATTTTTATTCTTTTGTTATAAACAACTCTTCAGGGACTGTTTTTTTTCACTGTATGTTCAGATGTTTATATTTTAAAATCAGGTTTTGAATAAAGATTGTTTCAGAAATGATTTGATTAAAAATGAATACAATTCCAAAGTATCGGCTAATTCTGTGATTTATTTTTTTTTTTTGTACATTTTTCCTAGTCACATACTGTATCTTTGGATGTAACTGAATCCCAGAATTGCCAGCCAAAATATAATCTATCGCATCTGGAGATTACCAAAATAAGTTTCCTTAGTTTTATCCACCCCATTGTTGAATAAGCTGCTTTTAGTACTGTGACAGTATTTATCTAGAAACTATTATTTAGGTTATTTCTTTCATAACAGAAAACATGGACAGCATGCCACTCAATTTTATATATATGAAATGGATTAAAAGGCAGCACTGAAGCACTGATCATAGCACAAGAACAGGCACTAAGAACTAGATCCATAGAAGCAAGGATTTACCACCACTAGATAAGACTCACGGCGCAAATTATGCAGAGGCCTAAAAGACAGTCTTAATACATAATAGCAGGGTGTAAGATGCTGGCAGGAACAGCATATACTGAATGATACAACCAAGTAGCATTGTGTACAAGAACATGTGCACAGTATATGGACAAGACACAAATCCAAATGGGAGATCCTGCATAAGGTCATGGAGAATAAGAGGACTAAGATCATGTAGGAAAGCGGTGCCCAGCCTTTCTGGCACTAGGGCCTGGTTTCGTGAGATAATTCTTCCACACACGGGGGTGGGGTGGGGGCTTCACTTGCAACCTAGATCCCGCGCATGCGCAGATTAAGCTTTGCTTGCTTGCCTGCCACTTGCAAGGCCCAGTTCATAACAGGCCATGGATCAGTACCAGTCCACAACCCAGGGGTTAGGCACTCCTGCTGTAGGACTTCCAGATCCAGGATAGACAAGTACTAACCAATCAAGCAGTCACTGTGATAGACAAGAACCAGAAGATAGCAGTGGCAATAGAGGTACCAGTGCCAAGTTATAGCAATAGGAAGGAGTAGGAGAAGCTGGATAAGTACCAGGGCCTGAAGGAAGAACTAGAAAGGATGTGGAAAGTAAAGGCCAAATGGTCCCAGTCATGGTAGGAGCAATCAAGGCTTAACTCCACCTGACATGGATCTACAATGAGGAGTTTGGGATGTCATTCAGATTGGAGAAATGTGACTTGATGGTAGTCAAAAGAGGGAAAGTAGTTTCAAATGATGAGGTGGAACTCCCAGTGTAGCAGGTGTACAGGCCAGTTCAGGCACCTTGGTATCCCAGTCACATGAGAACCATGAAGAGGCAAGGAAGACAGCAACATCAAAGTACCACAGAGGATAAGACAGGTTCTGAACAGCCAGATCAATAGATAGATCCATGTCATCAATATATATGCCCTGCTAGTTATCAGATACCTTTCCAGTATAGTGAGCTGGCCAAAGGACATGGAAGCTGCTGGTGTGAATACCTTAAGGCTCCTCATAATTTACAGAGGTTTCCACCCCATGCCCAACTTGTAGAAATTGTACACTAATCAGAAAGAGGGTGGGCAGGGTCTAGTGAGTGTCAAAGCTACTGTCCTGGACGAAACTCAGAGCATCCACAAGTACACCAATATGTTGGCACCAGGGGTGAAATCCGACTGGTTCGGGCGAACTGGTAGCAGACATTTGGCTGGGTCACTGAACCGGTAGCGACAGCTGGCTGGTCACGCTCCCGAACCGGTTGCCTGGTCGCCACTCACTCGCCACGCCCTACCCCATCTCTGCTCTGCAGCTTGCCTGCCTGAAGAGCTGCACCCCAACTGAGCGGCCCTGATCTGCCTGCCAGGTAAGCCTGTGAGTCATGACCTAGTTAGCTCCTCTTGCCCCCCCCCCACCATCCCAGCCTGCCTCCTCTACTTCATTCCCTGCGGCCCGCAGCCCCTACATGCTTGCCTGCCTTCCATGCAACCTTCCCAGTGTCCCTGTGGCCAGCTTGTGAAGTCAGGCAAGTGGAAGGGCGTGTGGAAGGCAGGCAAGCATGTTGTGGCTGCCCAGTCACTGGGAAGAAAGCTAGCAGCCTACTCCCTTCCCCGCAGCCCTGCCAACCTTGCCTGCCTTCCACGTGGCCTTCCCGGCGGTCTCCCACGCCTGCTTGCCTTCCGAGGTCAGTGTCCATTCCGGCCCAGCCAGTGGGTGGGTAGCCGGCCCTTGATGGAGAAGCAGCCGCTGTGCTGGGGCTGAGGGGGGGGGGCAGCCACAGCAGCGGTGCTCCAGAACATCCGCCTGCCCTCCCAAAGCTCTGCCACGGCGGCGGCGCTTGCTTTCTTCCTTCTCCCACCGCAAAATGAAATAGGATGGCAGCGCCGCAGCAGGCGTACTGCATGTGCAGCATTGGGATATCCTCCTGCCCTCCTGGAACACTGCGTGGTGCCACCATTCACTTTTTTCCTTCTCCTGCCGTGAAAGTGAACGGCAGGAGAGGGCAGGCGCACCGCATGTGCAGCACCGGGATATCCGCCTGCCCTCCCAGAGCACCACCACCATCGCCGCCCCTCTCAGCCTCAGAGCAGCAGATGCATCTCCAAGGGCCGACCATCAGCCTTACCAATGCGCTGGCTCCCTTGGGATGATGGGCATGCTGAATATGCCAGTGGAGGATCTAGAAGGTAAGGCCGATGGTGGCAGCGAGGGGTGTGTGTGAAACCCGCTGCACTCGGCCGAGGAGCTGCCTTGGGGGGACATGGCGAGGCTTGTTCACCTTTTGGGCGAGAAGAAAAAAAAGAGGAAGAAAGGGAGAGAGAGAGAAAAGAAAGAGAGAGAGACAAAAAACAAAGAGGAAGAAAGAGGAAGAAAGAAAGAGGAAGGAAGGGAGAAAGACAAGAAAAAAAGAAAAAGAGGGAAGAAAAAAGAAAAAGAAGAAAGAGGAAGAGAGACAAGAAAGGAAGGAAGAAAGAAAGAGAGAGGCAAGAAAGAGAGAAGAAAGAGAAAGAAAAAAAGAGGAAGGAAGGGAGAAAGAGAGAAAGAGAACGAAAGACAGAGATAGTCCTTGACTTATGACTCGCCCTCTGGAACAACCTCCCCCCAGAGATACGTACAATACCAGACCTCCGGACTTTTCGTCGGGCCCTGAAAACTTATTTATTTCACCTAGCCGGGCTGGCTTGATCCCACAGTTTTGGTTAAATTTAATTGATTTTAATTGGGTTGTTTTAAATTGCGGCCAAAAATATTTAATTATTTTTAAACTGTTTTTAAATTTTGTATGTTCTGTTTTATTCTGGCTATTCACCGCCCTGAGTCCTGCTGGAGAAGGGCGGTATACAAATTAAAACAAACAAACAAATAAATAAATAAATGACCAAAAATGAGGCCAAAATTTTGGTTGCTAAGTAAGTGTTGTTAAGTGAATTTCACCACATTTTACTCAATCCATGACATCTCCTGGCTCTAACAGTGAGTGACGTGAGTGATGTCAAGTTGGCCACGCCCACCCAGTCACATGATCACCAAGCCACTCCCAGCAAGCCATGCCCACAGAACCGGTAGGGAAAATTTTGGGATTTCACCACTGGTTGGCACCCAAAGATGAACTGTTGAGAGAACGCCTACGGCAGCAGTAGACATGGAAAGGTGAAGCAGGAGTGCCATGGTAAGACAAGACCTTGCATGGAAAGTACCATCAACAGATATCTGAGATGGCAGTTTAATATTGTACATTAGTCTTGGCAAGAAACTAAGTCTTCTATTTAACTTGATCTCTAAACCTTAATTGGGACTTGAAAGGTTTATTTTTGCAGCTTGTAAAACTCACATGCTGCTGACAGCAAAATAGTACAAACATGATTGTACATTTTTAAAAATCTTTATTTGTGCTTTATTTTTTGTGCTCTATATTGTAATTCTACTTTGTAAGTTTCATTTAAGAAATTTTATTTAGTCTGGGTCACTGACGTGTAATACAGAATGTGATTTGAATGTATGTACTGGTATGTAAGCAAAGTTTGAAGCAGGCAAGAGCAAACTACTTTTGAATTGTTACCAAATAAATCTAAATATATAAAAGTGAAAACCACTCACGCATTAATCATGAAATGTCCAGAACCATAAAGCCTACAAACTTGAAATTGGCCACATATATTCCTGTTGGCTTCTAGGTGCTCACTAAGAAAGAATTTTTTGAAATGACACGCTCTGATGCTAATTAGTTAGACGTTCTACTCCTCCTCCCACCTTGAAAATAACTCTGGAGAGAATGGGATAGCATAGAACAGGCTTCTGTGGGGCAAGCCTCATGGAGAGAAGGGGCTAGAAACCCTGAGGGGAGAGAGCGGGATAGGATAGGAGACGTTTCTGTGGGGCAAGCCTCATGGAGAGAAGGGGCTAGAAACCCTGAGGGAGAGAACGGGATAGGATAGGAGACGTTTCTGTGGGGCAAGCCTCATGGAAAGAAGGGGCTAGAACCCTGAGGGAGAGAGCGGGATAGGATAGGAGACGTTTCTGTGGGGCCAGCCTGAGGGAAAGAAGGGGATAGAGAGGGGAGGCTTCTGTGGGGCTAGCCTGAGGAAGAAAACGGTAGAGGAGAGGCTGATTGTAACTAGTTATTAATTTTCAAACTCTTAAGTGTCAATTTATCAAGCCCGATCACATTTGTAGCGGAGCACGGGTATTCAGCTAGTTAGTCATAAAGTCATTGGAGGTCAAGTTTGAGGAAGATCTTAACCAAGCACAATATTCAAATAGATCTTGTTAAGGAGAGTTTTCCATTCTTTAAAGAAAGGAACTATATCCCCTCCCAGCCCACACCAATTGAGCCTTGCACAAAATAATAAGTTATCAACATACCAATGCAGACACAAATATAAAAGTTTCAATATTTCTGTATTAAAGTGCAATTCAAAAATAATATAAACAGAGTTAGCTATTTAGTTATGGAAAACAGTTACGCTTTTGTGTTCAGAATGAAGGTATTTGTTAGAAAAAAGTTTATTTCATACTTTTTACTGTATAATTATCTCATTTACTAAAGGGAAAATAGATGAGTATCCATAACACACCAGTATGTCAAGTTTTTTCTCTGTGAAGTAAAAGCCCTAACATCAAGGAAGAAAAAAGAGATGTCCTATATGCAAATTATATTCTCCACTACATTAGTGGAACAATAGTTCTTTTAAGAACAAATATAAGAGGAATATACATATGATAAGTCATTATTAAATAACAGTTTAACATAACCCAGAATATTGGTTGCTTCTTTCTAGCTCGGACAAAAACTATTTTTAGTTTTCTCTTCCAATACCATTTAATTACAGAACTCTTATCAAATATAATTTCTTACTCATGTTTGGAGTTTTAATATTTTTCCACCTCATTATCTCTGGCCTGATGGTGTAGCTCAGCTAAATCTAAATAGAGGCCTAAACAAAGAGAAACTACTTTGACATCTATGTCTGGCTTTACCAACATACAGCAGTGTATAAATTCCCATTTTCTGTAGCAGAAAAAAAGTATTTTCCTTTTAGATATAACATTTAGTATTGTATTAGCTGCTGCTAGTTGGAAAAGAATTGATTTCCAGATCAAAGATTGAGTCTTGTTCTTAGAATAACCAATATGTTTTTTTCTGGATCAGGTATTATGTTGTTTGCTAAATTACATTTTATTTTAGTCCTCTCAGTTATAAAGCCAATCTTTGGTTCCAGTTCACATAAATGGTTTCAATTCCAATTTTATTTCTCCTGTATGGTTAGGGCAGACAGATAATTTGGCCTAATTTGAGTAAGACTCGCTGCCCTACTCTTATACCAGGCAGATGATGTTTTAGAGACACAGAGATACATAAAGACGTTTTAGAGACATAAACCCTGCAGCCAAATTGAAAGCAGAAAAACCTGCTGTGCATTCCTTCAGATGTAGATACAGTAAAACTATTTCTACCTGGCACCCTTCTGCAAGGACAAAGAACCAATATTGCAGAAAATGAAATCTTTAAAGCATGGTTGGATGTGGCAAACCAGAAGGCAGCAACAGTTACTGAGAAGAAAGGAATTGATTAACCTTTTGGATCTTCTTGTCATCCCTTCCTCTTCAGATATCAATTTTTAGAAATCAGTGGAAAGCTTTCTTCCATTCTACTTTGCAGGAAAGATAAAAGTCTCTGAAAATTCCCTGTTATTCATTAATCTGCATTAATGAATAATGGAAGAAAGCAAGGAGTGAAAATACCATGCAGATATAGATGGTATTAAACATACAGAGATGCAGAAAAACAAAATGCTCCTTCATGAATATCTGTGTCACATTAAAGTGTTTTGTTATAGCCTACCCTCAGGACAGAAAACATATAAAGTACTACTGTCACCGCTCTTGTATTGCCATTGTGAAAGTGTAACAGCAGGTGTAACATCATCCAATATTATGCATGCTACTGACATAAGATGGTCTAGAGATTAAAAAAAACAAGGCAGCAGCAACGGCAAAATCTTCAAAGTCAGGAAACATAAGAAAGTGGCGCTGAGGCTCCTGTTAGTTGTTCTTCTTTTCCTCAGGTGGTGCATAAGGAGGTGGTTGATCCTAAAATGAAAATTAGGCACATTTAATTAAATTGGCACATTACTATTAAACATTTTGAGTTTTGATTCTGCCCACTATCAAAATATCTCAGCATTCTTAAAATTATTCAATATTAAATCAGTGTGTAAGACATTTCAATGCAGTCTCATATGTGATCTATCTCCTAAGAAGATGGGCAACTATAATGAAGGACCTCAAGTCCCAAGATTTCATGTTCTTCATACCTTTATAAGGAAAGTTCTTGTTACTCAGTAATATGTTATAAGCCAATATTATGCAACATAATATGTTATAAGCCAATATTATGCAATATTTTGCAGCTCTCTGCAAAAGGCTCTAATGCATGGAGAGGTGGAAAGAGAAGGGGACAGCCAGCAGCAAGGTTCAGCAGATGGACTCAGTTACAAATGGGTGTGCCTTTGGAAGGTCCGAAAGACCAGTTTAGGAACAGATCATCATGGCAAAAATCTATGTGGTTAAGTGCCTTATTGGCACATAATCTGTCAACGTTATTATCACAGGGATGGGATGAGATGGGATAGAAACAGACAGTCAAACATGGATGTAGCTGTTTCGTTTTTGTTTCTTTTTTAAAGGAGAGGAACAGCCTGAAGTGAATAAATAGAGTGTCTGTTGTGTGTGTAATTTCCTCTAGAATTCAAAGTTTCTCAGTGTTACTATATAGAAAGCAAAAATGGCAGATGCTTTTCGTATAATGTTAACATATTCAATGTAATTAGCTGCAAATTTTATTTAACTAAATGCCAGAACAACAAAAATTTTAGAACTACAAAGCTAAACCTGCTCCTCAGGTTGTGCTACAGGATGTCCATTCTCACTCAGTGATTGTACCTAATATTACAATTGATAATCAGCTAGTTCAGATCCAATCGAGTTAGCACAACAGAGAGTAAGTCTATGACCAAACTCATTACTCATTTCTCAGAAATCCCTCTCCTGGTTTTCTCAGATAAAACAGTTCACCTAAAAAAATGTGGACAATCACTACTCCCTTGGCCCCATCTCCTGCCACATACAATTCTAGAGAAAATCCTTACCATAGGCATGTAAACATTATGAGGATTAGCTGGGTTATAATATGCACTGGAAGTTGCCTCTGCTGCTTTATTGCCACCTACATCATTAATAAAAGAAAAAGGGCAGGGAGAACTTTTAAGACAAATGCAAACACTATTCACATTCACAAATGCTGCCTGGTGTCTTCTTAGTTTCTAGATAAAATTAAAGTACAGATTTGTAGCCTCTATAAGGAAGAATCTGGACAAGACAAGGTAATCATTTTTAGATATATTAACCATGTATATTTGGGTAGGCAAAAGAGAGAATATTCCACAATAATCAGAGATTGAGATCAAGATCTGTCAGCTAACTGTATCTCAACAATTAGCAGATCAAACAGAATTTATAATCTCTAAAACAGAATCTGGTCACATTTTTGAAAGGAAGGCCACAGGCTCTCTCCTTTTATTAATTTTTAGTTAGCAAATGTCCATAAGTGGAATGGCACTGATGATACAGGAAGGGATGGAGACAGAATTTCTGACCTCAGCTTTTGGGTAGGAGGGAAGTGGGGGGGGGGGAGTAACCAAAATAAGGAATACTAAGTCTTAAGTCTTACCAGAGCCTTAATACAAAATTTCAGTAGCACAATCCTGCACAGTTTTGAGTACAAAGATAAGACTGGGGGTGAGACTGGGGGCACTAGGAGACTTTTGCACCTATCTTTAGAGTTTATGTTTAACAGAGGGGTGTTTCAAAGAACATTTACTTAATTCAAAGAAAATGACTTGGATAAATCAGCATGACAATAATTGCTCTTTAAATAACTTATTTAAAACCCAGAAAATAAAACCTGGGAGCACAATGCAACTGACCCAGTTCTAAGCAGAAGCAATCCTAAATTCTTACCTGGCATCCCAGGTTCTGTCCAGGTCCTAGGAGCTGTAGGTCCTGGATCAATGGGAGCTGAAGGTCCAGTACCAGAAGGGCCAGGATATGGGGGAGGAGGTGCCATGTACATGGAGTTCATCCCAGGAGGTGGTGGATATGCACCTAAAGAAAAAAAAACTATATTTGTACAAGCATATCATAGATGTATTTATGTTGGTGCAAATTCACACAAATTGTTTTTTTTTCTTATTTTGCACTTTCTTTAAAAATCAATCAGGAAGTATTTTCCAAATAATTTACACATTCAAAGAGAGATGACTACTGTGCAATTGGTATTCTTGTGCAGATCCTACAACTATTCCCTTGGCTGTATAATATAATATAATATACAAAATATAGGGCAGTAACAGAATCATTTGTGGGAAATGAATGTGTGGAATAGCATACCCAATGCCCGAACCCTTAATTCTATCTTTATTACAATTAATCCCATTCACTATGAATATGTTCAATCATTCCAAATATTACCCTTTCCCTAGTAGCAATTTTATAATGTTGCTAATCATATTTTTCAGATCCGGATAATTTTTTAAGTCATTTCATCTACATGAATAGTTATAAATTTTATAATGCTACAGTACATTTTATTGACATATTTAGACTTATTTATATAAGTGTGATTTTTAAAAAAATGTTTTATAGGTTAAATGAAGACAAAAAAAGGAACAAGAATCCCAAAACTTATCTTAGATCAGGGATGTCAAATTTGATTTCATTGAGGGCCGCATCACAGTTGTGCTTGACCTCAGGGGTGGGTGGCCATCCTGACCTCACTCCTGTCGAGGGCGCCTGTGGTGGCCTGAGCGCTCTGCCAGTGAAAACATGAACCCGAGCTCTCTTTTTGGCTGCCACGGCCTCCTGCAATCCTCTGCCAGTGCTCTGTTTTCACTGGCAGAGGGTTGCAGGAGGCCGTGGCAGCCAAAAACCAGAGCTCAGGAGCACATTTTCACTGGCAGAAGCACCACCGGCCAGTCCTTCGCTGTTCCAGGGTGGCCCTGCAGGCCAGATCTACGTACCCCATGTGCCAGATTTGGCCCCTGGGCCTTGAGTTTGACACCCCTGTCCTAGATAAACAAAAAGAGTCAGCTTAATATTGAATAACAATATTTTATAAAGTTGGTTGAGAATTCACCTGGAGGAGGTGCATATGGATATCCCATAGGCTGCGGAGCAACTCCATATCCATTCATTTGTGCAGGCATATAAATATAGGCTCCAGAAGCTGGCTGTGGCATAACGTAGCTTCCTGGTGGAGGTCCATAAGCACCAGGAAAAGGTGGTGGTGCATACCCATAGCCAAAACTCGGAGCTGGTACTCCTCTAGAAGCTAAACATAGTATATTTAATAAGCCAAATGTAGCACATGAAATCTTGGAGTTTAAATAATTATGTTTAAAATCAACCAAAATTAGAGAGAATTTAAGCAAATTATCTGATCGGTTTACCCATTATGATTATTGTATTTTTGCAGGAAATGCACTCTATGTGATAGTGAAATTAAGCGAACTACAGAAAGCATGCAGAATATAGCTTTGTGCTGTTTACTTGCAGTGGTCATTGAAACTGTCTGTATTTAATTCTAAGTAACAAAATGTGTTTGCAAGCATGCATGGAAGCACAGGGCAGGCTGCACCAGCTCCCCTCTGGGTCATGTGCCTGGAAGGAGAGGAGGGGCTTAGAACAGAAGAGGCAGCATTCCAAGTCACTGCCCAATGCACATTTGCCATTGGGGAATATTTTCCCATAATGTTTTCTTCTCAGCTACCAACCTAATCCAAGTCCATTTTTGTACCCAGTTTTTATTTTTCTTGCTTCTTCCACTATATCAAATCTGGACCCATTCTGTTTAGAGGAGTTATCTTGCTGATAGACAAGAGCTCAAGTCTCTCTACATAATTTTTTCTCCAACATTTTGTTGAGTTGGAAAGAATGAAAAACATATAATAGAGGTGAGAATAGCAGCATTTAGCACTAACCATACATTAGGGTTTAAGCATACCTGAAGAACTATCAGCAAGTACAACTGTCAAATATTATCATCAAAAGTAGAAATCAGTACCAAATTATTTGCCTGGGATGGGAAGAAATGAGAAGAAAGTCTTACCATCACTTGCAAGCTTGAACATCATTTGTCCAAATTCTACAGCACCTCCACTGAAAAAGCTCATTTTAAATGAAGCCTGACCTTCCCAGCCACCTAAAAAAAAATGTTGCATTAAAAGTCTTAAATTAGGACAGCTTCCCAAAATGTTGTCAAGACAAAAACATGGATAAACTGAACATGATTTGATATCAATATCAGTTTACAAAGTAATTCAGAAATAGTTTTAACAAATATTCCCATAATAAGGTCCCTATACCAGTGGTGAAATTCAAATTTTTTTACTACCGGTTCTGAGGGCGTGGCTTGTTGGGCGTGGCGTGGCTTGGTGGGCGTGACAGGGGAAGGATACTGCAAAATCCCCATCCCCTCCCCACTCCTGGGGGAAGGATATTGCAAAATCTCCATTCCCACCCCACTCTGGGGCCAACCAGAGGTGGCATTTGCCAGTTCTGTGAACTACTCAAAATTTCTGCTACCAGTTCTCCAGAACCTGTCAGAACCTGCTGGGTTTCACCCCTGCCCTATACCAGTTTTGAGAAATCACCTGATTTTTGCCAACTCCAGGTTCCTCAGCATTGTACTACTGAAATCCAGAGATAAACTACCAACTTTCAATAGGTGCATTAAACCTTTAGTAAGATTTGCTTACTTATGTTATTAAGAACCCTTTAAAATCAAATAAAAAGGACCAAAACCTCATCCTATCTTTACCAAAGTTCTGGAGAGGGCAGAAGATGCCCCAATAACCCTAACTTCACAGTATATCCCATCTATCTTGCACAGATTTCAAAGAGAACAAATTTCAAGGTAAGAACAATACTTAAATTGTTTTTTTCCCTTTTCACAAGCAGCTAAAAATGCTCATTCATCACTTTCCTCTAAACACACTTATATGTAAAAAGTGCATTTCTTCCTACAAGCTCAGAAGTGGATAGCTTCTTCCAAACTCTAATCAAATGTTTTCACTGAATTTAATCAGGGACTGTGAAATTTAACCAGAATGTATATCAGGAAAACAGAATTTCCTATTACCTTATGCAAGCAAAAATTTGCAAATAAATATAAATCTAATTTGAAATAATTGTCTTTAAAATAAGTTTTCAAAATAAAATATAGTTTTTCTTTTTCTTCCAAATCAAGTTAGAGTGAATTGTGAAGTTTCTCATAAATATTGAATGAAGGATGGTGAACCTAACAGCTATCAAAACCCTTCATTATTGGTATTTATGTACAAAGAAACATTGCTACACATTTTTGGTGAATGTATAGTTCTCAGCTACAATAGAAATTTAAACCAAAATTTTTACATTTGATTTTACATATGATTACTCCAAGAGCGCAATTTTTTGAAATTTGCCTCTCTGATGGATGACACATACCTCCCGGTTCTGCTTGTATTACTCCTTTGATATAATTGGCAGAAAAGACAGGTTGTTCAATGGAGCATCCCTTCACCAAGTGGAATGGCATCATGAAAGACATCATTGGGTCTTTGCTTTTTGACACAAAAATAACCTGCAAAACAAATTCATGCCTTCACATTTTTAAAAGAAAAGCACAAGAAAACCACACAGAAATGAAAACCTTGTTACATATAATTGCAATCTACATCCATATCAAATCATCAACTTAAGATTTAAAATTGGACTAATATTTTTTTATCCCAAAGCTAACCCATCCTAAAACACTTTTCTTAAAAACATAAAATAATCAGTCAAGATAGATATCTTTTAGAAGGCTGTTCAGCATGGTTTAGCTTATAACTTTTGATTCTTGGCTTGTGTAGACCTTCATTAAAGATCTCAATAACTGTTTATGGACCAACCAAAATAAAAAGATAATATACAAAATATTTAAAATCCGAAATACAATCCTTTTAATCTACACACAAAAGCAAACATTTTAAATATTATTTTTAAAATAGTGATGGAGCTGTGTTTAATTTTCTTTTTGAGCTGGAGATAGTTCCAGAGACAGAAGGATTCTATGCTATACAGAACTCATTTGTATATCTGTCAACCTAATAAATCCTGACAGCAGGCCTGCAATTAAAACTTAATAGGCCGTTCTTAAAGTTCACACAAGATGAGTGCAGTCAATCTTTTGAATAATCTACTCTCAAGTATTTAAAACATTAAACTGTCTGAAAACTGAATTGTTAATGCAAATAGTACTATACCAGTGTTACTGGCTTCAAAAGCTAACTCACTATAACTATTTTAGTGACTTCAAATCTTCAAGTCTTTTAAAGACTTCCACATGGAAGGCATTAAGCAGTTCAATTTAGATTTCAATCAGAGTATGTAAAGCATGACTTATTTTAGATAGCCCTCTAAACTATGAGACACTTAAATCAGGAAAGAAAAAAAAGCTAACCACTGGCTTCATTTCTGATGTCACAGCTAATTTTCAGTCTAGTAAAAGCATCAAATTGAGAAGGATTTTGCAGAAAATCTGTATTACTTTATGTATTGCTAAAAATGTCATTTCAGAAACTGAATATTGTTTTAGAAGTTTAACTGAGGAAATTTTCCAACTTAGGAAGGTTGGATTTCACTCAGAACTTACCCGATAAGGAGTGAGAAAAACCATTCCTTTCTTAGTGCCTTTGAACATCTCTGGATTGCCAGTAATCTCAGAGAAAGTCAGCTCCACATCTTTACAGTGCTTGAGAATACTTCAAGGAGATACAATATAGATGTATTAGTATATTTAATAAGGTTTATTAAAAATAACAATACAGATGAAGGACCCAGTTTGTGGGGGCAATAAGCTGACTTTGTATAAATATACAAAAGAATGAAGGCTATTGCTTAGCGCATTGTAAGCCGCCCTGAGTCTCCGGAGAAGGGCGGCATATAAATCAAATTAAAAAAAAACAAAACTTAATAAAAAGTATTTACTAAGCTCAGTCCAGAAAACGTAGCTCAGAACATATTTGTATAAACCTCTGAACAAATAACACCACTAGTGAATATAATATTTTATCCCCAGAATAGATAACACCAATATCTATTATTATTATTTGCTCTTTGTATTAAGTCTTTAAGATTTCTCTTCTGTATTCTTTCATATCAACTATATATATAAAAATGTAAAGTACAAACTTCATAAAAGTATTCCAGATTACTCAATAGTGTTGTTTGGAAATAGCTTTTGTAAGAAATCATCTTTATTGGAAGTGGACTGAACAAACTGATAGTTAACTATTAGGAGATGAACAAAACTATTTTGACTGTAAGGAGGTGAGTTTTCCTTCTCTGTGCATAAAACGTTAAGTTTATTTCTGTGATAACTAGATTTAATCACCAAAGTCAACCAAAATGTGGAATGAATTCAACCAATTGTGATTGATTTGTTATGTTTCAACAAGCACTGGATTAGTTTGAAAACCTATAGCTTTAATCTTCTGCAGTTAGTTCAGAGCAAGGCTTGTTGAGCACCAAGCAGACTTGCATATAATCCAATTATAATGAAACACAACTATCTATTCTCATTTCAATAGCTGATAAGGCAGCTATCCATTATTCCCCCAGCATCCCACCAAATGTGTCAGATATTTATGAATATTAAGGATGATTGTGTGAACAGTTTTACTTTCTTTTTTATTCTCCAGTTCTTTAGAGCTGCATAGTTTGTAATGAATTACTTGATATAACTGCTTATAAGCAGCCTCTGTCATCCAAATCAGGGGACTCTGGTTTATTGAAGACCTCTAGATATAAGCATCAGAAATGATGTCTGGAGCACCACTGGAGGAAGATTAACAGCGAATCTGACTCAAAATAGGTAAGGGTAATTGTTCAGATCTATTCAATGAAAACAAGGGTGGCATATTATCACAATTTCTTTGCCCTTGCTGTTGATAAATTACAGCCCAGTAGCATTGTATAAGTAGCTTGTTCAGTTTTGAACAAAGGTGGGCAGGAAGATTTGCCATCAGTCTTTCTGCACTACATTTTGCCAATAAAGTCATTCATAGTCATGTAACTTTTGATTCTTCACGGTAGGTGTAAAATGGTGATCAATGTCTTTTACTATTATTTGTGACTGATGAGTCCAGATAGCAGTAAGTGCCTCATTTGGGGAATAAGTGATCCTGTCCTCATTCCCTGGTCCCAATCATAGTGAATAACTATTGTTGTCACCAAGCTCCTCTTCCTGATGAAGTTTTTATTTATTTATTTAATTTCTATAGCCACCCAACTCAACCAACTGACTCTGTGAGGCTTTCTTTTGGGGAAGAATGTGGGTGTCAGAGCATCTAGTAAAAATGGATAATCTGACACCCTTTCAGTCATAAATCTAGAATAAGTACACGATGGAAAGTTTTCATGTTTGATGAATGACCTATGAAGGGACCTGGATGGAGAGAACAGATGTCTCGTGGACCACTCAGCAACATTCAATACAATTAATCACGATATTCTTCTGGACCATCTGCCCAGTTTGAAGTTGAGAGCACTGTTTTACGATAGTTCTGCTCCTTACGAAGTAATTCCAATGGTGATGATGGGTCAGGTTGGCCCAATGGGTGGTCCTTTTTGTGTGATGTCTCAGGGTTTGGTCTTCTCTCCCTATCATGAAACTGCTAAAAGAGGATGTCTATCTGTTTGGAGACAAGTATCATCAGTATGCTGCTGAGCTGATCCCTAGTTAAACATTTTCATCTTGGGCTGGACCGACCTGAAGTTCCTGACTCTGAAGGCTGTTAGTCTGGATAACACAGAATAGAATGAAGTTCAACAGGAAAGGGGTACTATTCTGTTCTGGTTTTAACTCTAGACAGAGTAGCATTCTTCTGAAACAAAAGTTCTACAACTTGGGAGTTCTTCCAGGTTTCATGGCTTACAGCTGGAGGGGCAAGTGGAGGCCATGGCCAGAGGAGCCTTTACCCTGGTTTGGGTGATGTGCCTACTCAGCCCTACATGGAATTGGAAACACTAGTGATAGCAACTCATGTATTTAACTCCATTAGACTACCACTACATGATGTCCCAAAAGCTGCCTTTTAAAATTCTCAGAAATTGCAATATATAAATTGGGGAAAATGCACGAATTCTGAATATCTTCATCAAAAAAAAAATCTTAGTTAGGATTTTTTTTTTAAAAAAAAAAGATGACCTATCACTATCACAAGAATGTTGACAATTTAACACTCCAATGATCATGTAGAAATCACATGAGTCTGGTTTAACTCATACTGGCTTTACTTTCAGGCCTACCGTCAGTATCTCAGCTCTGCTGTTCTATTTTTTTGTCTTGTTTTCTTCAATTATTGCTTGTCTTATTCCAAAGTAAACCAAAAGGAAGAACGAGTCAAACATGTAAATTATTTGCCCTCATTTGTTTGATAATTATGGCCGTGAAATTATTCATCTCTTCAATGTATTAGTTGAGTACTACTATTTTAACATAAAGAAATTATTAATGTTTTCCTGTGAAGCCAATTACTTCAAGTCATGTTTCCTCTTAGGTAATGAGCCTGCCAGAAAAGTAGTTGAGAAATTTATTTCGGGCCACGCTTTATTTCCTTTTCCCCATCAATTTGTACTTATCTAGGGTGTGATGGAAAGAGAACCTGTATTCAGTAATGCAGCCTCCTTAACTCTCTAGCCTCCCCGAAAATTGTTCTCCGGATACACCTATTATTCCTAACCTAGACGGAGGAAGGCGGGATTAAATTCGTGCTTAATGAAGCCTAACCTGGGAAGGAAAATGTAAGTCACAACTACTACGGCCCACGTCATAAAACAACATTACTGTACTCAGATTATTGCACGGGCCGGAAGTGGAACTAAAGGCCGCTTAGACTGTCGAAACAAAACAGAACAAAAACAAAACAAAAGAAGCTATCACCGCCCTCCCCACCAAGAGTCGAAGTCCCGGGCATAGCAAGACTGTAGAAAGGGAGGGGAGCGACGCAGGTTAACACCTCTACGGCCTCTCTTAACACTTGGGCAGAAGTCACAATCCTTCTCCGGGTGATGATGGGAAGACGCGGGCACTCTCGAGCTCAGACGCCCCCCTCGAGGCCGAGGAAACCAGGCGCCTCCCCAGAGGGAAAGGTCGCTGGGCTTAGAGGCGCCCGTCCCACCGCTCAGGTAGAAATGCTCCGCCTGTGTTTCGCGATCCCCGAGGATACGCAAGCTCCCCCCCACCTCCCGCCTTCGCCCGGTCTTCCCCCCGCCGCCCCTTGCTAGCCAAGTCCATCCTCGCCTCCGGTTACCTTTCCCCGTGGGGCGGGACAACACCGCCACCGGGCAAATGGTTCCTGTTCAGCGCCATGTTCCCGGCCAATGGCACCGACCGAGGCGGTCCGTCTCTTTCGTCCCTTGCCAAATAGGGCAGAGCCGCCCCGTAGCAGGCCGTGATCTCCTGGCGCGCAGGCCTGCCTCTCTCGGTGGAGTGGAGGCGTGGCGGCCGGTCGGTCAGTCAGCTGTGGGGGAGCCTGTCCCGCGGACGCCTCCTGGCCACTTGGGAAGCCTGCAAAAGGCGCGGTGGTTGCTACTACGGTTCTACTAAATTGATTCTGGAAGGAGGAGAAGGAAGATCAGTGAGCACATAAGCAATGCAGTTAACGTTGATCGATGAAAAAGGTCCATAGTTAGGTAACGCCTTTCTTGGTATTAACCTAAATTAACAGTCATATTTTTATTCGCTATGGAAATGTGACATTTGTTGACCGCATTCCCTCCAACCACTCTGGAAAGTAGGAGACATTAGGAGACAGCTACTGGCACAAATATTATATAATCGAAGGCTGCTTGAAATCAGCTGTCCATTTCTACATCTGTAGATGGCTGAAATATGTACAGTGCTCAAAAAAATAAAGGGAATACAAGCAGAAGACATCCGAGATCTGAATGAACGAAATAGCCTTATTAAATACTTTGTTCTTTACATACAGTAGTTTATACAATGCTCAAACAACTAAAGGGAACACAAAACTACTTTATGTAATGAACAAAGTATTTAATAAGCCTATTTCGTTCATTCAGATCTCGGATGTCTTTTGCTTGTGTTCCCTTTATTTTTTTGAGCAGCATATTTGGAGTGAGGGCTTCCCTCCCTCACAAAACATGTTGCTTCCTAATCCTGCCCCTTTAAGAGCATAAGCAGGGATTGTTTTGGTTGCATTTTTCTCTGAACTTGAACTTCGGTAGGTTTGTGGCTGTGCCTGGCTGGCCAAGGTGGAAAGCCGGAGTCCAAACAGAATATGGTAAAATAGACCCCAGGCTGGCATAGGAATGAGACAAAATTGCATTTTCTTATCTTGTTTATACGCTGAATACATATTGAGGGAAGTTGAATTGGAAGAAGATAATGTGAACTTTTAAACTTGGAGGAAGCAAAAGTGGCCTTTGAAGAAACGGGATAGAAAGATTATTAATGCTTTTCAACTTTACTGTTGAAGAAGACTCCTAAGTATAGCATGGATAGCCAGAAAACAAACAAATGGATCATAATCAAATTATCATCTAGATATATTATGCAACAACCAGGCCCCTTGAGAAGTTCATAATACTGGGAAAGGTGGAAAGAAAATTTTGTCTCAGGTTGCAGTTTATAGAATTTGGAATTATGTAATGCGCCTGCCTGCTGTATTAGATACTGAGGGACATTTTTTTTTCTGTTTGCTTTATTTTTACATTTGTAATACTTAAAAATAGATGCACAGTGATATTCAAATTTTCAAATATGCTTCACTTATGCTTACTTTTTCCTCAAGTTAACACATAGTCTGAGACCCTTCAGAATATCAAGGTTAGGGTATACAATTCTAATCTTAGCCCTTTGAGATTGCACGGGTTTTAACATCAGTCAGTTTCCGGTAAAATTTCCTTATCTTTTGAGAAATACCTAGTTTTGGTTCTGCATTTTGGACTGTTCCTAAAGTGAATGATTATAGGTTTCTGTCTTACATATTCCTGTGGCACTAGTTTCTCCAAAACTGCGCTAGAAGTACTGTAACATCTATTTAAAACAAGTGTCTTCCCTATATTGCTGTTTCTTATATTTCTGCAAAACCTTAACATTTCTATTAGGAATTAATATGAACTTACCAGTTTAACTAAACATAGGTTCATTTTATAATCCTAGTTAAAATTAATTTGTCTCCCCAGTTAATGTATTATAGGTAGTCCTTGACTTACAACCACAATTGAACCCAAAATTTCTGTTGCTAAGTGAGATAGCTGTAAAGTGAGTTTGATCCATTTTATGACCTTTGTTGCTACAGTAATTAAGTGAATTACTGTAGTTGTTAAGTTAGTGACATGGTTGTTAAGTGAATCTAACTTCCCCATTGACTTTCCTTGTCAGAAGGTCACAAAGAGCATAGACCCTAGGACACTGCAACCATCATAAATATGAACCAGTTGCCAAGCATCTAATTTTTGATCACATGACCATGGGGATGCTGCAACAGTCGTAAGTGTGAAAAATGTCATTTTTTTAGTGCCATTGTAACAAAATGAATGGTTGTAGGTAGAGGATTACCTGTAATATTTATTTATGCATCGTTTATACACTCTCTTATTCTCTCTCCCCGTACCAAACTAATGGTAATACAAACAAACCTTAAGATTCCAATTCCTACAAAATAAAAGAGTTGTCACTATTTTCTCAATCGTAGCAAGAATGGGAATGCCTGGAATGTCCATTCCATAGAGATGGAGTAGTCATCTAAACACTTCCAGATCACATACTTCTGGTGGGGTAACTCAAAGCATTATTTCCTGGATCAAATATACAGGGTGGTCAGATTCAGTTGGAAGGATGTGGTCCTGAAGATATCTAGAAGTCAAACTACATAGGACTTATTCAATAAAACAGCACTTCAAATTGTTCTTGAAAACCTATATAATGTAAATGTTAATATTGTATATTAGTAACAAAACATAACTAAATGTAAGAGTGTTCATGCAGTATTCAACATTTATATGAAGCTGCTTGGGATGATTTTGGCAGATTTAGAACTAGATACAGATATGTTGACAATACCTAATGATAATTCCCTTTTTTGCAAAGTCAGCATTGGATTCCTCCAGGCTTCCGCATGTCTCCAGCTTATAAAGGACAGGATGTGAGATAATAAGCTGAAACTGAATCAAGATGGGACTGTTACCGATTCTAAGGGATGGACCTCAAACCATAGAGGTACAGCAAGCTACTAATAAATCACTCAAATTACATATTTTAATCAGACAGTGGAACACAAAAATTAAGTCTAGCAATATTTACATCATTGTGGCATGTATTTTTTTCAACAAGATTGGATCAGTAACAAGAAAACGTCATTGTGATACTTTAATGAGCTAAATATATCAAAAGACTTTAGGCATTATTCAATCCCGTAATTGGTTTTCTTAATACAAACAACCCCCACCCACCCCAGTCATAGTATAATATACTAATTCTCCACAAATTAGCTTCTAAGACAATCTACATTATCAAAATGTTTTCATTAGATTTTGGTATCCACAATGGCAATGGAAGGTTTTCAGAGATTATAATAGGATATTTTCTTTCTCTATACCTGTATTCTCTTTATGGCTTGATTTTTACAATACAGACCCATATGTAACATAAAAGGGGGGAAACCACTATATTGCTATGAGGCATTTTCTTTTCTAATATATTTGTGACAGTGGTATGGTGATGCTCAAGTAAGAGCTATTTCTGTAGTTTTGATGTCTTAGTAGGTATTTGAATTGGAGAAATGAAACTGAAAAAAGGCAATTTTGTAATAGTGCATACATTGGATACAGCAGATGGCCATGAATACCTGATGCTCCCACAACTGGCTCTAAAATGCAAAGATCTGCATTGGGAGCAGGCAGATCTTTGGCTTTTCTCAGCAAAGTTAGTCTAGCTATGATGTAGATGAGAAATGCTTTAAAAATAAATGGGCCTACACAATTCAGCATCAAGATGGAATTTTAGAGCTAATTTTACTGTTAAAAAGTAAAACCAATAAGCAAGAATATTCTACTACTCTTGATAGTAAAGGAAACCAGAATTAGTCTGCAAAAATAGATCTTGTTAAAACTCAGTTTGAGATCCCCAAGACAAGTTATCAATAATGTCATACCTCAAATTCATTGCTCCTATATACAGTCTAAGAAGATAAAACTTGAAATGGTTTAAGGTAGAGTGAAAATCAAAGTTTTTCTCTTTGTACAACTCATCTGGAATATACCATACCTACATAGGACAGTAACATCAGAGCTTTGTATATTTTGCTGCATTCATTGCCAAGGATTAAACTGCGAAGAATGTGTTTATAATTATAACATGCAGTGCAAGGCAGTGCAGTAGTTAGAGTGGGACTGGGATTTGAAAAACCCAGAATTCAAGTTATCTCTTGAATAAGACAGTAACAGTGCAACTTTATACTTGTCACTTTTCCTCAATCCCAATAGCCTAACAAATTTGCTGTGTGTATATAATAGTGACTGTTTGTACTGTATTAACATGAGCTCTTTAGAAAAGATGGATAAGAGTTGCTTAGGAACACTGGCCACCAAAACATTTTAATATATTTAAAAATATGTGTATTTGACAGAGGCAATTTGAATATTAATAGGAGAAAAGGGCACACAGGTGAATTTGTGTGAATAGAAAAATAGCCGATATGCATGAATTAAAGCACCATTGTTGAGGTTTATTCTCCCATAGTAGGCACAATAATGCTAATGCATGTTAAAGGGCAGTAGAATTTCTTCGAATTTCTTCAATTAGGTTTCTTATGCCCAAGAGTTCTAAAAAAGAGCAGATAAAGAAGCAGCATGCCCAGGGATGTTATGCTTTGTGTGCTCATTCTCATTTTATGCCTAGGAGAATCAGCACAATACTATAGAATTCTCTGATAACCTCTTCCATTGAACATCAAGTTTCTGAGTCTGTATCATTCCAATAACATAGCTTTATATTTCCACAATTATATTAGAATATATTAGTGTTCACACTTAAATATATTGAACTAAAGTGGGACTTACTTCTGAATAAATATCTATGCAATTGCTCTATTATCTTTTTTATATTTGACAAAGGATACTATACTAAGACAATCCTTCTCATAAAATTATTTTCTGAATAACTATAGTGAAACATTTCTTCTCTTGCAGTCATTAATTTGTCATGGCTTTGACCATAGTTTTCAGAAACAACATGCAAATTGTATCTTGCAATATTATGGAAAGGCTGTAAATCACCCTTTCACAAAAACCTGCTCAGGATCAGACAATCATATTCATTTCAGCTAAGACTTAAGCTACATTTAATTCAGAATATTCATAACCTACAAGCAAACTAGCCTCCCAATGGTTAAACTAAGCTAAAGAAGCAAGTAATTCTGCACAGAAATGAATGAAAGGCCTGCCTCCTTATCATGCAAATGTGTTTCACTGACTAGGCCTTTGTTATAAAACAAATCTTAGGAAGAGTATCATTTATGCAATTCATATAAATTCATAGTGTTATGGCAATGTGAAATAGAGAAATTATCTACCTTTAGCTATTTGTCAGAACTAGAAGTGGGAGTTAGGAGTCTTCCTAGTATATAATAAAAGTATTAATCAACTGAATCTTTCAGTCTCAACTGCTGATGATTACATGGACATATCCAAGTTGTTTTCTAGGCAATAATTCAGAAGTCGTTTGCCTTTGCCTTCTTCCAGGGTATTCAGAAAAAAAGGACATCCTTGGGAATTTCTGTAAGTTTCCCATCCAAATATTAATTTATGTAATTATGTATTAAATATCAAGAGGGTCATAGCTTGCTTAGCTTTTTGGGACTAGCCAAGTTTCCTATGTGTAATAACATTGTGGTATAAAGCAGCACTCAATGGATTTACCAAAAATGTAGCAAGGATTCAATGATCTCTCTCTCTCTCTCTCTCACACACACACACACACACACACTTGTCCCTCTCATTCTTATGTTTGAGTGATTGCTTCAGTCAAATATTATTTGGATTAATATTTCATATTAAGCCACAGTTTGATTAACTGTAATGAATAAGCAATAATAGGTTAGGATCCCACATACTGCAACATCATAAACTATGCTACAGTCTAGAATGGCTAAGTTCACATCATATAGTAAATCAAAATCATAACTTACAGTAATATATATGTGAACCCAGACTATATTAAGATCTATTGAAATAAATCCAAAATTATAGCAAAAAATTTCTTATTAATTACTAATATAGTCTTGAGGTTTTATGGAGAGTCCAAACAACTACTTCTGCTAAGGCTTGGAATCTTGAAGGATTCCAAATACACTCCCCCCCCTTTTTTTTTTTGACTTAATGGAAGAGGATTAAATTCCATTGGATGAAACCAGACTTAAAAATCAAAGAATATCTGAAAAGAAGGCTCCAACAAACCACTTCTATGCTATTTTTTTTAGAAAAGTACATTATTCTTAACTTGGAGGAGACCTGACATTTATCTAAGCTAGGAACAAAAAATCAAAACATTTATTCTTTGATTAAGTTTGTTAATTTAAGTAGTTATTATATACAACATAGTTATGCATACTGCAAAAAAATCATGTATATTGTATTTTGTAGAACTCGATATGTGGTAGTTAATTTTTCCAGATTGCTATACCCAAAAATCTATTTGGAAGGACTGAAAACATTTTATGGATGAATTTACAGACAATTTTTCTATATTGTGATGACATCTTCTGCTCCATTTCTGATCAGATTTTAATCATTTGTAAATTCAAGAATTTTTGTTGGATTTTTGTTATTGTGGCTCCAATTCAATAAAATATCCTCGCTAAGGAGATTCTTAATCCATGGAACTTTAGTTTTACTGATTAAACTTTGATTTTTAATTTAGTGTTTGCTGACTTAGAATTGTTTGAATTAAGCAATAAATTATATAACATCAGCTACAAATTTTATTCCATTTCTAATATTTCTGTGATATATTTTAAAGAGCCTTATCCTATCATAAAGAGCAGACACTCTTTATGTAAAGAATTCTGTGTGCAATTCTTGTCTTCTTCAGGATTGGATGGGAAGAACTCGTGCTTCAACACCTAGGAAGCCACTACCAAATAAGACAAACAGTACAAAACTGGATGGGACAATCATCAGATTCAGCTAAAAACAGCTTATTTTGTTCTCTGTATTGTTTAATGTTTTTGTTAGCCCATTTCCACTATGGAGAACTCCATAGAAGGAACATTTGACCTTGATATGCACATTTAAAAATGAAAGAGGGCTATTTCCCCCCCAAAAAGTGGGGTTACAATGGTTAATAATCGTGATATTTTGGGAGACAGCATGAAACAGCAAACATGGTGGCTCTGTATGTGGCAGTGAAATTTTGATCCTCACAAGTCACTTCTGTTTTCTGTTTCTGTCCACAGCGTTTGAACATATAAACTATATGTTTATAAACATATAAACATATAAACCTGCTTTTGCTTAAAAAAAGAGAACAAAGCAGAAGTTCTAAGGATTAGATTACTTTGGCCAAATTCCATATTTGGAAATCAGCAGTACAATTTGCAGTTGAATGAAAGCTGACTGCCTAGGCAAACTTACAAGGATCTGAGTCAGAATTAAAATGCCACATTTTAGGATGAAAGAAGGATGTGTAAATATCCTTCTGAACAGTGTCTTAGTATGGAACAGCTACAGCATCTTTCCCATAGTCTGTGGGTTATAGAGGACAAAAAGGCACAGTTGGAAATGTTGCATTGTTTCCTTTCCAGCTGCCTCAGACACCTAGAGGGATTGTTCCATTACTGTAATATCAAAACTTTATTAGGGTAGGTCTGACAATATCATGTGCCAGATTTTGGGGAGTGGACAGCATGTGTGTATGAATCTGGGATACATAATGGTGATTTAAGGAATATTGTGGTACTGTTAAAAAAGTTATTTCCCCTGTCCTAAGAAAACAATATTTCCAGATTAGCTTTTATCTCTCTATAATAATTTGCCTCCTATGATAATGAGAAAGAAATGGGTAAAAAACCTGACATTCTTATCTACACCTGCTTATTAATTATAACTAAACACATTTACTTGGCAACTAATTCCTCCCACTGATTTCATTACACTTACTTTTACAGAAGTGCCTGTAAGATCCCAATCTCAGTCTAACTTTAACATTTCTACATTGAGAAGTGAATTTATAACACAAACCATCAACCACAATGCAAAGTATCCAGACCTGGAACGCTTGCATCCTAAGTATGTCTCTGTTTTCATCACACTGCTCAGCAAATTGATCTCATTTCCTACCAACCCTTGGAGGTGCTTCACATGCTCTCACAGTTTGCGTCACGTCCAGGATTTTTTTTACATTTCCCACAATCAGGATGCATAACTGAGTACTGGAAAACAATGGAAGACTAGAATTTTGTGTACAAAATTAATAAAAATAATAATAATGATGGACAAAAATGCCAAATCCAATCTAAACATCTGACTGTGCAACCAACCACAACAAGATGAGGACATATAGGGAAAGTGGGAAATCCATATCCAGTTTCTTTCCCCCATGCACTCATGAAGGATATCCCATATGCTTCTAAGAGAGGCCTGGATTCAAATAAAAAGATAGAATGAAAGAAATAGTTAATATGCTTCTGAATATTAACTAAACAACAATATTTATCATTCACAAATTGCTTTCATGATTTTCTTCTGTCTCTACGGTCACTGGGGGGAGTCCCCCATTGTCATTCAGTCGTTTCGCCCTGTAAGTTTCATAGTGGATGTTGTGAGTGACTTCTTTTAGGTCTTGAAGGTGGGTCCTAAAGAACAAGTGAAAAAAAGGTGAAAGGAGACAAAAAGTGTATCCTGTTACAATACAGAAATACAAGAGCACATATGTTCCTATTCAGTAATTTATTTAATATGGCAAATGGTCAAATTATCCAACAATATTAGCTCTTATATTTAAATTGTTTAAAGACTATTTTCTTGCATTTTCATCTTTCAGAATTGTAATATATCCGTGATGGCGAACCTATGGCACAGGTGCCACAGGTGGCACGCGGAGCCATATTGGTGGGCACGCGAGTGTTGCCCTAGCTCAGCTCCAGCGCACATGCATGCACCGGCCAACTGATTTTCAGGCTTTCCGGTCCCACCGGAAGTTGGGAAACTGTCTGTTTCTGGCTCCTGGAAGGCCTCCGGGGGGATGGGGAAGACTGTTTTGCCCTCCCCAGGCTCCTAGAAAGCCTCTGGAGCCTGGGGAGGGGGGAAAACGGGCCTACCGGGCCCACCGGGCCATCATGTGCCAAAAGCAGGGAGAACTGTGGGGGGGGGTCACGTGCGCATGCGTGGGATGGCGGGGCATATTGAATTATGGATGTGGGCACCTGCACCCGTGACCCCCCTGCTCCCCCCACTTTTGGCACGCAATGGCAAAAAGGTTAGCCATCACTGTAATATATGATTGATAAATTTCTGTAACCCTTTTTAGAACTCTAACCATAACTCTAAGACATTATCACATCTTGTGGCAGAACATTTCTTAAGTGTCTATTATTTGAAGAAGTATTTTGTTTGTTCTAAATTTGTCCTATATTGTGCTCATGAAAAATCTAGCCAGCCTAATGAACTATAAACAATAGGGAGCAACTGAGAAAAAAGAAATATTTACACCTCTCCTTTTTATTACTTCATTTGTTCCCATCCTATGCAAGGTGGGAGGAGATTAGCAAGTTCTTTGTTGGAAATATAATCTTGAGGTATGATAGGTCATTTAAATATTCAAAGTTACAGTAAAAATATGTTCCATTCGCACATATGTGCTAGTCGTTCCCGACTCTAGAGGGCGGTGCTCATCTCTAGAGGGTGGTCCCCATTTTTCTACTTGCATTTTTACGTGCTTTCGAACTGCTAGGTTGGCAGAAGTTGGGACAAATAACGGGAGCTCACCCCATTACATGGCACTAGGGATTTGAACCACTGAACTGCCGACCTTTTGATTGACAAGCTCAGCGTCTTAGCCACTGAGCCACTGCATCCCTATGAAGTTACAGTAGACTTCCCCAAAGATCAGTTTAATGCTATAGTATGGCAATAGCTTATTTAATTTTTTCAATTTATTTCAGTAAATTATTCCAGTTGAATAGGCAACACCTTTAAAAGTCATTCTCACCTAATGACAAAATCTCGTAGTAGAGCAAATTCACAATGGGTGAGATTTTCCACTGTAAATAAAGGAAATTACAATTATCATACCTTAGATAAGAATACAGTAATAGAATCACAAAACTGAATGGAAATCTTGAAGGCCAATCCTTGCCTGAAGCAGCACTAATGTAAGAGGATATCTTGCCATTCTTAGGTCTCTCACATTATCTGAATGGTAGTGGATTCCATAAAACATTTCACAAGAATTCCTTAGGAGAAGGAATGGCAGAACCTGGGGGCAGAGTTGGAATCTTTTCAAACTAGAATTACTACATAGCCATAGCCACAAGTGAACTAAATTCAACCCCCCCCCCCTTAAGTGCTATTGACTTTTACCTAACTCTAACCAGGTGCTGACTGCTAGTTGATAAGATTCTTATGCTTAGGTATTTAGCAATAAATCAGCTTAATTGAACCTTCTCAAGTGACCTGATCTTTCACGCCTGCCAGGATGGGATCTAAAACAAAAATACCCCTCCCTAGAAGACTAGGAAAAAAATGCTTTTCCCACCAACTTCTGCCCTCAGGTTTATCAAAAACTTTTTCTGACGATTGGGGAAACCACCTGAATAATATGGGCTGCTGTGCAAAAAGTTCCAAAAATATCCACAAAGCAAGTGGAGCAGAGATTTGTGAGAAGGAGAAATTTACCTTCACTTGCCTCTTTCCACATTCTTTCCTCACTCATTCTTTTAACAACTCCTTATTTATTATAAATTATTTTATGTCAATTCAGTTACATGGTTTTAAGAGATTTATAAACAATAGCATATGAACACAAAGCAAAAATTCACTAAGCATAAAAAGTTAACATATCAGAAATTACAATCAACATGAATACTCTAGTAAAATCATGGTGTCATATATCATCAAAACAAAAAAGTAATCTATTCCTCATTTTGTGTCCTAATTCAGACTGAAAGAGTCACATTTTTAAAAGCTTCCCAAATGTTAGAATTTATTATGTATTATCCTTCCTAGTGCTTAAAACATTTAAAAGTTAATATCAAACTATTATTCATTAACTGAGATTTTCCTTGTATATTTAAAATTAAAAACTGATCTAATGGGATTTCTCTTTTTCCTGCTCACCCCCTCCCCGCCCCCAGTTATTTACAGAAAATTCACCCTTGAAAATAACTGCTGTATTTTCCTATTTTATAATTCAGTATTTCGAGTAAGCACCCCTCAATGTATTCATCCAAATCATGAATAACTAATGAATCCAATTTAATTCATTGGGGAAGATAGTGTACATGTTTATAGTCATTGACTTTTTGTGAAGAATCTTCACAAAAATTGCAACTGGTACCATTTGCAGACTGGCTGCTATAAGTGACATCTAAATAAGAAATTACAGAATAATTATTTATGTACCTTCAATGACTCCCCAAGGTGTTTTTCTTCCTAAGACTCTTTTCCCATTCACTTGATACTCTTTGTCACTGCCCACCACAGCAAATGGCATACTTTCCTGCTGAAAATACACATAGAAATTAAGTTGCTTCTTTCTAGTATAAGTAAGGATGATTTTATTATTTATTTGTTTGTTTGTATCCCACCTTTATTGTTTTTACAAATAGCATATCCAACTTCCTATTTTTCTCACAAGAACAACCCTGTGAGGTGTGTTGGGCCAAGAGAGAGAGTGACTGTCCCAAAATCACCCAGCTGGATTTCATGACTAAGTCAAGATTTGGTTCTTTCCATTTCACCTTTGTATCACATGTATCTTTATAGAATAATATGTGTATACGAGCTGTCATTGCTAGTTTCTCTCTGTACAGTATATCTATACATAGTACATGCAACGTATAATGCAAAATACATTTGAATACTAATGACTCCTTTAAGCATCTTAAGAAATAAAAAGGCAGGACATAAATATGTCTAAACTAACAATAATTAAATTAGTTTGTAAAAATGTATTTAAAAAATTATATTCTCTCACTAGATGCATAAGTTTCAAATGTATGTAAGGATAAAAATTCCTTACATTCCAACTTTGGATTCAGTCTCTAAAAGCTACATATGATCTAATTTTAATCTAGTAGAAATAATAGTTTATCAAAATCTAAAGTTTATATCTTCTCAATAACTACATACACCCATATATGTAAGATTAAACTACCTCAGAAGCTACTAAAAAGGTCAATTGGAATTATAAACGGCGCACCCTGATTTTGTCATTCTCTGCTTTGTCTTCAAGGTCTTCATCAAACTCTTTCTGGGGATAAAATTCAATTCCATTGACTTCTAGTTCCTTACGGACCTGGTTAAAAAAAAGTATTTCAGGCTGAAAAGCCTATGCGAGCAGATAGCATTTCTGACCCAATCCAGAAAAATATCTGGATTGTGTGGTTTCCTAGATGCTTTCCCAAGGGAGACTCACCCTCTGTTTGAACTCAATCTTTTCTTCCAGAGTCATGGTGTCTGCCTTGGCAATAACTGGAATAATATTTACCATTTTGCTCAAATGTTTCATAAATTCCATATCCAAAGGTCGCAAACTGCAGGAAGAAGATGATTAGACAATTATAACCATCTTTACTATGGAAAAGCATCTTAATAATTCAATAATAATTAATAAAATTAATTCCTCTAATGTATTCAGCTCCAGTTTGGAAGGTGGGGGATAAGATACAGGAAACTAGCTTATCTGTAACTCCAGACCCTTTCCTATTAATTTATGGCCATCAGGAACACACTTTGACTGGCAAAGAAAGAAAAAATAAATAAATTCTAAGCATAAAAACTTCAAGGAATAGAAAATAAGCAAAAGAAAACCTCAGGCACCTTGAGGTAAAGTGCTAAATATGAAGATTACGTAAGTGCCTGTTTTGCCAAGTACAACTCTTGTTGGCAATCATAACTGATATCAGTTACTAAAGACTATGGATAGAGCTGGTAAAATAATTATATCTGTGTGATCACACATATTAATACATTTATACATATTAAATATCTAGAAACATTGTGTTTGCCTACAGTACACTTGAATTTTGAAAATTTTATATATGAACCAGCCTTAAAATATTTTGTCCTGGAAACATGCACACAATAATTATAATGAATAGGAATAGCTCTTCTAGGTCTTCATATGCATAATAAAGTATAGAAATGCAACATATCTCAAGCATGGATTTTATTTTGACTGAAGGTTACCCCTTTCTTTTTTTTGATCTTTGGAAGAAATATTACCACAAAATCTGTGCTGACCTAGATGACTTTAGCTGGCTGTGAAAGTTACAGGGGAAATTTATTCTAGCATCCTGTCAGTCCCAAGAGAGTATTTTTTTTCCTCCATTAATAAAACCTATCAGTGACAGTTCCCCCCTCCTCATCTTATGGACCAGCCCCAGAACTAGGAGAAATACATACGAGTGGCCTGTGGGAGAGATAAAGTAGAGGCAACAGTGGACTCTTGTATCTGGGATTCGTTTCTTTCTGGCAATATTCACCTCTTCCTTCAAGAATTTCTCATATTGCTCATTGATGTATTTTTCAATGGGCTCCCAGCTAAGCAAGCAGAAGAGATAAAGCAAACAGACAATTCTTCATTTCATATTCTGACATGGGCTAATAGGTTTTGGAGAGGAAACAAACCACAGGCAATTTTACAAGACCAAAACGATTTTTGGCAGGGTCCATTTTATAGCCTAATAATCTGACATTCTGATTTAACTGATACTACAAAATGAAATTGGAATCCTGCTAATATGATTTCAGATTTAGATTTTAGAATCTCTGTATTTTGTAATGGTGTCACCAAATTTCCCAATTATAACAAATTACTGAGGTACTTTATATATCATGTATGGAACAAAATATAGTAGATCATGCTTTATGAGCAACAAAACAAAAGTAGCTGGATAATTTTATAGGTCATGGAATAAATATCTATATGAAATTGCTAAAATGGCTAAAATGTACTAATGCTAAATTTGTTCTCTGTATGTTCTCTGAAATTATTTGTGATATTTTTATGTATGTTAAGGTGGAAATTCAAAATTGCTTTGGTTGCTTGGGGCTCTGGGGTAACACATGTTTTTCATATTGAAGTAGGGTCCTTCATGCAGCATGTCCAATTTGTCATTTAGCAGTGCAGTAAGCATAATGATGCTTATGATGGTAGAACTTTTCCTCAAAAATACCAATAGTCTCTAAGCCACTACAACTTTAAAATATAAGCAGTTTCCCAACTGCTCTTCATGTTGGCAGCATAGTAATCCACACTGAAGGGATCTTCAGTATTCCACTATTGCGACCACTTAGGGGGAAATTAACCTACTGTAATCAGTAAATCAGTTGTTAAAGATAACTTACCCAATATGAGATTACAGATAGTCCTTGATTTACAACCACAATTGGGATCGGACTTGATTTTATGACCATTTTACTGTGGTTGTTAAATGAAACATGATCATTAAGCAAATCTGGCTTCCCCATTTAGTCAGCTGGGAAGGTTGCAAATCATGACTGTGTCCACAGGGTGCCACAACCATTGTAAATGCCAGCTGGTTGCCAAGTGCCTGAATTGTAATCATGTGACTGCAGGGGAGGTGCAACAGTTGTAACTTTGAGGATAGGTTGTAAAACACTATGTCTGAAGGCATCATAATGTTAAATGAACACTCATAGGTCAAGGACTACCTATGTTAAAACTTTCCTGTTGGCATTTGTTTAGTAAATGTCATCATATCATCAAAACTATAGTTTGAAGTAACTTGGAGTACAAGGCAGATACTATATTTCTGTATGCTATTTCTGAAAATATTTGTGTCTGTGTCTACTAATCAGAATTTGCAACTGAGAATTCTATATTTAAAGCCTACCCACTTCTCTATTTACATGAGGAGGAAAGAAAGTTAGATTGAAACAGAAAATCAGTGAAAAATGAAAATACTTACCAATTTTCATTGTTGATCTGGTCACCAAATCCAGGGGTGTCAATAACCGTCAGCTTCATTTTGACACCACATTCTTCAATAACTGGGGGGGAAATGTTGCTGTTACTCATCTTCAAAACTAATCTCTCTCCCTCCCTCCCTCCCTTCCTCTCTCTCTCCCTCTTCCCCCCCCTCCCTTTTTCCCTTTAAGGAACAGCCCATCTCTTCACAACAACAGTATGTAAAAATTTGTATGCCGAGCGACCCCCCCCCCCCCCCCCCGCCCCAATAACAATCACAAAGTTGATTTCCAAGATAATATTGAGGGACCAATTTCAGTATTTTGATATATTCATATAGGATTATACCTGAATAATACTGTACATTCCTGAATATGTCCTGCAAGGGTGGATGGAATAAGTAACGGATGGTATACTAGACTGGACCAACTTTTCAGAGATGTATAAATGAGGTCTTTCAGATATATTAGTGCTTCCAAAGCTTCTATAAACCTGGCCTGATTTTCCATTATGGCCTAAACCATTTTTTTTTTAGCCTGGAGGTTTCCTAGTACGGTATATAATAATTACACCATTGTGATTAATGTATAGTGTAGGCACTTTCACAAATGAAACAATGGTGTGTCAGTAACACTATTTGACATACAGCATTTTGCATAGAATAACAGAAAGTTTAGTGATGATAATAGAGCATATAAGAGGGAGATATGGAATATATCTTAAGATGGTAAAGTTTTGCATATACTATATATACTCTTTCCAGAAGCAACCATACATATTCAAACCTGTGTCTACAGAATGGAATCAAATGTAATATACCAATCTGTGTTACTTAAGAAATGGGAGCAAAGAGATGAGGCCAGTATCACAGCATCACTGTCCCTTACATTATTATATTTCCTTTGTGTCAAGAAGTATGGTTGTTTTACTTAGAGTTTCATGTTATAGGTAATTGAGCAAGGGAAGTGAGTGCAGTGAAGTCTCCTTTTGGCAAGTAGGTGGGTTGCTTTTCACATTTTAAAATTCTGCCATTGCATATCTACCCCAGGAAAACTACTGTTTTGTCTGTCAGACTACCACCCAATTTTGATTCTATTTAGCCTGGCATTTCCCCCGGAACTGGCCCTTCATCTATTGTTACAACTATTATATATATATATATATATATATTTGAAGTACAGAAATAATAATTTTAAAAAATTAGCTGAGAACCCCACTCCCTAGAACTGGAATAGCACAGCAAATTCTTTCAGATTCTTGTCATTCTCCTGGGAGACAGAACCCAAATTACTAGATGAAGAAAAGGCAAAGAGTTCTATTTCAGTCCCTTCTTTTAAAAGCCATGCTGCTCTGACCCCAATTCCTTTTGTAGATAATAAAGAAACGGCTTAAAAGCCTGGCACAATAAGCCACAGTTTATCTGCATACTAGGAAGAACTGGCTTTTACCATGCCCAATAGCCTTGATCTCTACAGTCTTGGGGATCTTCTCCTCACGGTTCCAGCCTGAAGACTTCCTGCTTACTTGGGATTTGAACAGGGTGTTTACAAGTGTTGATTTTCCAAGTCCACTTTGGCCTAGGGGAAACAACATACAAACAATACAAAATTGGTGTTTGGCTAGTATAAATTGCTGCTGTATTTGTTTGTTTGTTTATTATTATTGCTTTGACTACCAAATCCTCTCAGGGAGGTCCTTTTAATGGCTTTTTCTTCACTTGCAGAGTATACCCCCATCAATCCCAATGTTCCTCATTGATTGCACAACATAGGCCGTATCTTGTCTCAGCCCTGAGTTAAAATAGTAATAATCTTACATCAATCCTTCCTATAAGAACAGATTTATCCTGTTTAGGCCAGTTAGGTCATGCCAGTGAGCCTAAGAATACACACACAAACACACAGGATTTATATAGCTGCCTATCTCATGGAAATGACCATTTTTGCAATGTGTGATTTGGGGTATATTCTAGGCATGTGGGAAAACGTAGTTACACTCCTCACTTAAGTTACTGGCCAACTAGATATATTAACCATTAATCAGATTTTGACCAACTACCTGTCTGAAATATATGAAAACAATAACTTGGTTATCAACCCTAAGAACACAAAAGGGTGCATAATCCAGACAACCCGTTGTCTCTGTTTAAGGATCTCTGTTTAATTGTCACAGTAAATGCTGAATGGTAAACTGCTAGTGAAAAAAGGACCATTGGGTAGAGTTAAAACATAATAAACAAACACTGACAGCTTTTCTCAACTTGGTACCTTCCAGTCATGCTGGAATCAGAACTGCTGTTGCCCATGCTGGCTATGGAGCTTGAGAGCTGTAAAACTCATTTGCACATCCTCCTTGCCAGATGTGAGAAGTCTTCCCTCCCTCCCCCGCCGCTTTTTCTTGATGACAGAAGCAGGTAACTTTGTCCAAGTCCACTGTGAAGGCAACTATACCACAAAAGTTGTGTTTTCTTTATGCCTCTGCAAGTGGATTTGAACTGTCCACCCGCAGCACAACATTTCACTGTAGGCAAATACTTCTGCTCCAGTTGGCTACCATGCATTTTGGTGGGAAGACCTCTTTCCTGCTCACTGATATTTATGTCCATGTTAGCTTGGCTGCAAGGCTGGCCCCTATTCTGAAAGGATTTTCATTGATGGACAGGTAAAATGCTGGACTGCTTAACGAATGTACCCAAAGGCTGGAGTGGTCTGATATTGTGTTTTTGTTTTGTACAATTTCCTTTTCTTTAATCAGGTGAAGTTGACAAATGTTCTGCCACGTTCTTCTGGCATAAATGTCAGGAAGAACAGTAAAACTGAAATCATCTTGTGCTGGATTAGAAAATGTCAAGCACAAGAAGGAATCAATGGAGGCAGCTCAGATAAAAGCCACATTGTCTTTAAACTCCTCCCCACCCCCCAAAAAAGTAAAGATGCTTTCCTGGCATGGGTAATGTGGGGGGGGGGGCAAGCAAGGGAATCTGTCAATCAGGGTCTGTGATTATTGCCTGGCCAACACTCTTGTCAATGTAATTTCCAACTGGTTTAAGTAGAGACAAGCAGTTTAAAACTGTCATGTGGAAGCAGCCATAGCGTAAACTTGCTTGGGGGATATTCATCTAGGCAAAGGCTGGTTTAAGCTTGGTTACTGATTGCCATAAGAGGTAATGCTAGTTCAAAAGAAAGAACTATTTAGGATGAGATACCTGTTTGGTAGGGCAACAATCAGTAGCAGAAGTAGAGCCTCAAGGAAATAGTCATGCTTGTAGGAAATGCTGCAAGGCAACCTCAAAGAGAGTACCCAGATGAAGTCTCTCCTACCCCAAGCCTGTGAACCAATCTTTCCTACCTACAACCATGATGTTGAAGTCAAATCCGGTTTTCATGGTCTTCTTCCGCATTTGCTCTATGATAGTGTCAATCCCAATGTAACCCAGTAGGTTGGAATTAATACTGACAGGTTTCATTGGTACTACCGGCTTTTGCCGTGGCTCTGGTACCAGTTCAGACATAACTGCTTCAGACTTGGTATCTGCTGAACCTACAGATGGAAGGAAAATAAAAATTAAATTATGTGCCACAAGCAAGTTAAATATAATAAGCACTGGTTCTTGGGGTTGATATTCCTGACCACTGCCCTGTCTTGAGTATGGGTCATTGACATACTTTGACATTGCCCTCTGCCTGACCCAGATCATCAGGAAAGCAATTTCCACCTGTCTTTTTTTCTGTTGTACATTAACTGCCAGTTCAAATGGTGCTGTTCAGTTCACCTATTGAATTTGACTTCACTGTGGGGGCTCTTTTCATGTTCCCATTAAGTTGCCCACTGAAGTGGTATTCAACTATCTACTTGTGGTTGCCCACTTTTGGATTGCTGGGTCGGCAGGAACTGGAACGAATGACTAGAGCTCACACTGCCATACGTCAGCAACTGGGTCTCAAACATGAACCTGCCAATCATCAGAACAGTGTGCTAACCACATGAGCCACCATGCACCACTACTACTACTACTACTACTACTACTACTACTACTACTACTACTCTACTAAAAATAATTATTTGGATTGATCGGCTACCTCTACTTGATTGCCTTGGATTGTTTGGATTAAAATGGCCATGCTATTTCCCAATTTATTATTCCTTGCTGGGAGTTATGGGACTTGCAGGCCAATGTATCTGAGAGACTGAAAAAGATCCAAAACATTATTCATTGACAGGAACATTCCTCCTCTGAATAATTCTTTTTCCTATTATTTTCAACTGCCGTTTGCACTGAATCTTCAGCCCTGCTTCAATAAATGGGTAATGTTGTTTAAGACTGATGTCAGACTTTACTTTACTATAGAAAAGAATCTGCAGATGTGGGAGCCAAATTGAGCTAGCCAAACAGAATTGGCAATTTTTTTAATCATTTCCCAATCTCAGTTTGTGATATAATTTGTGGGTTACTAGAGAACTTTTTCTTCGTCATTTTTTAAATGAGAACTCCAAGAGCACCCATAGGGTTGGGAGTGGTGGGGCAGGATCAAAAAATTGATGGCAGCTCCAGTTAACCATGCTGATAGTCATGGCACTGTCTTGCTTCTTCCCCCTGCTATCACAGCTTAGCTCATGGAAGTACACCATGTCATATGCTTGTCTTGCATAGGCATAATACGTTTAAATATTTGTCTTTAGAACAAAATACTTATTCAATTCAGTTTCTCCAAACCCTTGGAAGTCACACAGTGGAGTTGTTGCCAAACTTAAATTAGTCTGTCTGTCTGTCTGGTTCTTTCTTTCTTTCTTTCTTTCTTTCTTTCTTTCTTTCTTTCTTTCTTTCTTTCTTTCTTTCTCATCTCTCCCTCCCTCCCTCCCTCCCTCCCTTCCATCTATCTATAACATCTGCTGTCCCACACATACATGGAAACCATTCTTCTCTCCTCTTGGCTTTTGCCTGAGTAGCTTCAGAAGATAGAGCATAAACAATATGCCATTTTTCTTGGTGTGTGTGGAAATCTTCACTTATAGGATCTCAAAAGGAAATTGAACATATCCCAGGAACCAAGCTTTTGATACTTAGATTATTTCCTTATAGTTTTCTAATTGTCAGTCTTTAAAAACTCTATCGTAGGCAATTAAAGAGTCACATGATAACAGAGGTTTCCAAAAGTGCTTCCAACTGCTCCCACTGCTACCAATCAAAGCATATTATGAAGTTGCTTTCTCTTTCTCCTCTTTCCCACTTCCATCTTCCCATCTCTCCTTTGTCTTCTAACTTCATGTCAGAGGGAAGAAAGTACTCACACCAGGGGAAGCCACTTTTATTAACAGAAAGTCTAATCTAAAACAGTCCAGAACTGAGAAACTATTTTTTAAATTTCTATGCAATGCAAAAAACATGTAGGTTTTAGAAGAAACTCTTCTCAAGTAGGTCACAAACTCATTTTTATAAAAGAAACGGATGAAATCAAGACTCTGTTACTTCCCAAATGCTCAGGACTAAAGTTTCAAAGCTATTGGATTTCAAAAAAAGGGATCCTGAGCTTTGCAGAATCTTTTATATTGTGAGTAATCCCTTCACATGGCTTCTCAGGAGATCTGAATAGTGACTTCTATTTTTAAATTATTAAAGAAATCACTGCACAGTCTTATTCATGCCTTTGCAAAAGTAAGTCCTCTGAAACACAGTGGGCTTCACTCCCACAGATATCTATAACAGATGGCTGTCTCTGTCTTAGCCTGTTCGAGCTTTTGAAACTGGAGCTGATTCTGTCAACAGTTAGTCTCCTATCTTTTTTCATACTATATTGAAGCTATGTTGAAATGTAGGAAAAGACTTGTGCCATAGTTCTGTGAATAGATTTTTATATACTGCAAAAAGACTGGTTCAGTGTAAATGGGAAAAATCCATCCATGCTAGATACCCAATGAGGTCAGTGCCCTGATTAGGATGAACTTGCTGATTAATGTGAGATGGCTTACTGTGTTTCTGTGAAAGACAGTAGGATACATTTCTTTGCCTATGGTGGTGTAAATTAAAAGCAGGTTTTCCACCCAGCAATTTCAAATTACCATAAAATATCTGCAACTAATTATAATACCAGTCATATTTCTTTCTCTAGTTTCCCTAACCTGGTTTCTTCTCCAGATAGACAGTGCTACAACTTCCATCATTCCTAGCCAGAAGAACCACAATGAACGGGGAGGGTAGGAAGTGTTAGTTCAACTGACTTGGGTGGCTTTAGTTTTGGAAAAACTGCCTTAGTCTGACAGTTCTTTGTATTTGCTCATTTATTATCCCTCCCATTCTTTCTCCTCTGCTAATGTATGGACGTTCTGTTCCTGTTATCCAACCCCAATCCCATCACACCCCTTTTTCCCCCCTTTCCTCTGATCCAGAGTTGTTTCCACTGCCCAGCATTCTAAGTCATACCGGTCTGTCATCCACAATTACCCACCGAACAGCCATAGACCAATACATTTTGCCATGCTGAAGGTTCCCATTACCATCCCTCCATCCCTGTTCCAGGCTCAGTCCCTGAGGATTCTCATGTGGGTTCAAATGTTAGCTGCAGCTGCAAATTGGTACTCACACCCCTGGGCCAGCTGGGATGAATGAATGCCCTCCTTCACAAAAGCCTCAGTGTCTGATGCTCAGCAGCAGCAGGCGGCTGCTCCTGCTTCCCTCTTGATACCAGATGGAAAAGATGAACAAGAAATGTAGCGTCTCCTTTTGGCAGGCTTCTCTGGGGAGTCTTGAATTAAAGCAGTGGTCAGTCTCCATTCCAAACCCAAATGCATGGTTGAGCTGAGAGCGCATGCAAGAGCACAGCATCCCTTCCTGCATCTCTGAGCTCAGCCAGATCCAGAAAGAGCGTGCAAACCCCTGCAGGAACCACCTACCTTTGAACATGAATCTTTCTTTGTCTCTGGCTGTGAACCTTCGGGTGGGGTTTCTCCTGACTTTTTCCTGCCCCACGGGTGCCTATGAGATTCTGGTCGTCTTTGTTTTTTCCGTAAGTGCCCGTACCCCTTTTTCTTTTCTTCTCCAATGGATATTTCAGATAAGCAAAAGATGCTGCTGCTACTGCTGTTACCACGATCACGTGATCTGAATATTAAACATCGCTGCAAAATCTCCCCCACACTCTGCCTCTCTCTCTTCCCAGGATCCAGAGCATTATCATTCAAGCATCTGGGAGACCTTGATTGGATTGATGTGCATTAAATTGTGCACTGGCTTCTGAAGGGAGGTGCTGCTGGGATATGAGGGTTAGCAGTAGCCTGGAACATGTCCCCTCCCCATCACATATATAAATGTTTCCTTCTCTGCCTGGTCTCAACACCCTCCTTCCTTCTCTCTGTTCCCAGGCAGCATTCATATGGCTTTGTTTGCCGAGTATCTCTAGAGGCAGACACTAGTTAATGTATGAGGATCATTAACCCCTTCATCAATCATAGCATTCACATGTAAGGAAAAGAGGAAATTTATTTCACATCTAAGTATTCAGGGATTTTCATCTTGGCACTTGCTTTCAAGAAGGTTATGATAAATCTTGTGACATTTTGCATCCACTCATCGTCACAAGATGCTGACAACAATAAGAGGTAATAAGATACTGTATGACAAGACATGGTATATGTCAGCGATGATTTTACATGTCAACAATAATGCAGGCAGGGAGAAATCTGCCTTTGTGTCAATCTAAGTAATGCATATTGGTGTGTCTCCATGTGTTTGTAGGCATCTACATCATGTATGTGAATTTGCACAGTTGTCACAGTAAGCATAAATGCCTTAGAAAAAACATCTGGCATCTGTACTTACTTTGACAATATGCAGAGACCTATTTGCAATGGGAAACACTGATCCAAGATAAACTCTACAAAACACATACAGTATATATTGCTTCATGTGAAATTTATATATATGTGAATTTCATGAGCAGGCATGACTTTATGGTAAATATGTTAACATATGTATTTGAAAATCTCACACGTGATATCTGATGCCCATAGGCAAGATTTCTTAAAATATAAAATATTCTGGGTGCTAAAGGAAACACTAGGAATCTGTATAACTGGACCAGATGTCTGCACAGTAATTTCCCAATCAGCTGGAATGAACCATATTCACTGAATTCATTATTTTCTCATTTCATATTTGGAGAACAAGAGTTCAGAATGGAGATGGATCTAATTTGGAGTCAGGATTGTGGATATTATGTGCATTGAACAGGAGAGCTAGGCTACAGAGAAACTGTATCTGACTATTAAGTAGAGTGCATGTCAGGGTGCAACAGCTCTCAGATCCGGCTGTTAGAATTCCTATCTAGAGTGGAAAAGAGACCTCCTGGAGAATGTGGTGCTGAAAAACATCTACCAGTCAGCACACTTTTCTTCAACTAGGTTCTACCAGATACCATTTCTGACATTTCGAGTTAATGTTCTCCATATTATTTGAAAAAACTGAAATATATGAGGAAAAGAACAAGTAGAAGAAAGTTGCTATAGACAAGACTGACTTAGATGGACCAATTGTTTTATATCAGGCAGATTCTACTATCTGTGCTACACTGTCTAATCTGGAACATGAACAAATGTTCACAGATGTATTATGACCCTTCCTTCACTAAGCTCAGGCTCTCATAGGTGAACCAATCACTTACTGTGTTCACAGACAATTGGAGTAATATCTATTCTGCTCTTAATCAGAGGTCTCTTAGAAATGGCTATTGTCACTTAACAGTACAGCACTATATGACAGTACAGTCACTTCAATTGAAATGATATTGAGTAGCGTAAAAGTATCAGATGAGATAAAGAACCGGTCTGATGTGAGTGTAGTGATTAAATCATTGATTTGCTGCAATGTGATTAACTGTTTTGTTTGGTCTGAATATGGATTTCAATAGACTTCCTACATTGACTGAAATTCTAGAGTGGGAGTTCAACTTATCTGGAGGGCAGAAAGTTGGAGAATGCTAGTTTTAAAATACTACATATTTAATGCTTATATTTTAAAACCACTTTAGAATGCTATGTTCTTATTGTCTGTCCTTTTCTATATAGATAATCCTCGATTTACGATCACAATTTTGGGCTTAATTGTGGTCGTATGTCGAGGACTACCTGTAATATGAAAAACAAAACAAAACAATGACACAGATAACTCTTGTGTGTGAATTGGATCTGATTTTATATTTCTGCAGAGCTGTTGCTCTAAGATAATAAAACATTATTCTGTCCAACGAGAAGGTGCGTCTCAGGTAGGACCAACGCCCCTTTCATGGAACATGCAATCCATAGTATGCCATTATTAACTGAGAGACTACAACCATTGATTTCATATACTGTATATATGCAATAATATGTAGCAGCACTTACCATTTTGGGATTTACATTCTGACTCAGTTGCATTTACCACAGAAATGGTTGTAGAATTTTTCATAAAAGAGTGGTCCATACTAGCTTGCTCTTCAGGACACTCCTGAGGAAAGGGAGGGAGTATCTTAACAGGCCCTGATAAGCCCCTGAGTGTAACTCTTGGAATGCCGTTTCTGGCCATGAAAACCTGGGCTTCATGTATAGCTTCTACCAGGATAGAATTCATGAGATCCTTTCCCATGGTTTGGGTATGTCTCTGACATGATGGAAAGCTATCAAAGCCTATTTTTTTCACCGAATCTGGTGTTTCTGTCTCTGAAATCTGGATTGCATCGTCAAGAGACGAGTTGACTTGTGCATCAGGAATGAACTCAACTGTACTCTCTGGCAAGGTTTGTGGTCCAGATAGCAGCTGAGGACATGGCAAAGGCTGTTTCTTGAAACTCCCTGGTGTTTCCTCCATTGAAGATACCTTCTGGAATTCTCTTCTTGCCATGGGATGCCAAATGAGTTGCCGGCTGGTTGGAGGAATGCTGTTGCTTTGATGAAAAGTAAAAGATATGGAGCTGAGTTTCTGTTGTTCCAAACCATTAGCTGCTGTCTGCTGAAGTGACTGGTATCTAGTGGAAGGAGGACATGAAACCTGAGTGTCATGGCTCCCTGGAGATTTAGGAGAAAGAAGCCTAGAAGCAGGCCTGGGAATCCCTTTGCCTTTAGCCAGAAGAGTCTGTTTTGGAGAACCTTGCACGAATAAGGACTTCTTTTTCAAGCTAGGGTTAACAGACCCTAAACCACCAGTCCCAGGTGAGCGAGCTGAACATCCTGGAATGCTGTTGCAATGAGAGGAGGCACCTAAGACTGGGATACACCTTTGGATCCTGTGTGGGGAGGGAGTACAACCTTTATCCATCATGACAAGTGGTTGCCTTTGTTTTTCCTAATGAAATAAAAGCAAGTGAAAGATTAAAGAAGTGAAAGAAGTTAAAATTGCTTTTAACTGCTTTTCAGCTATTAGGAACCTTTAGATCAACAAGTTTTTTACAACACTGGAAGAGTTTCCTTCAATCCCTAGTGAAAAAAGTTTTAAATACAAGTTTAAGTGTTAAAAGCAAGGGTTTTTTTTCTGGAATAAACAGCAAATTAAAACTTTGATTTTATAAAGTTACAAATGGACTAGGGGTCTAGATAAATTTGAAATAAAATTTTGGATTTTAAGAATCTTGCTATGGGAAATTCTTTGAAATCATAAAAAAGAGATAAGTTTTTTTAAAAAAACGGGATATTAGAAGGAACTAGAAGATTACAATTAAAGGAGAAGAACACTCACTCGGCTTAGTCATACAGAATGAAGCAAAATATTTTATCATTGTACATGTTAAAGGATATTTTTGAACAATGGACCCAGAAGTTTTGTTTTTTTTTAAGTTTAGTCAGAAGCTGCCCAGAGTTATTTTACAGGGGAGATTTGACAGCATAAAAATTTAACAAATAAATAAATAAGTAAAGTTATTTTTAAGAGGGTATGCAATTCCAAATAGACTGTGTTTAAAAAATGTTATGGAAGAACAAGTTTACCAGACCAGACAGACTGTTCTGAAATTGGGTTTAAAAAAGACAGGTTACAAGAATATTGGGAGGAAATACTACATTGGATATACAAATAAAATCAATTAATGTCTTAATAATTAAAAGGGATAAACAAATAAAAAGAATGATATGAATAACTTTCCCATATTGAACTTACAAGAGACTTGTTAAAATTTTGAACAATTTTCTGAAAAGAGACAAAGAAAAAAATGAAATCAAATTCTAGAACGTTATTTGAAAGGACTATAGATCAATATTGTTAGAAGTAAAAAGAAGGACTATAAAGTTGGTTTATTGATCAAGGTTATAATATCTATATTCTGCTATCTCTGCTAATTCTTATTGGACTTTTGCTAATATCAGGACTAAAATGACTTTATGGATATATTTATAGATAAAAGATATGGGGGAAAAATATGGGGAAAAGTCAGCAACTATAGCTGGCAATGACTAGTGGAGTAGAATCCATAGGGACACCTTTAAGTTTTTTTTAATAGGGAAAAGAGATTGTTTTGCTGAATTTTAAGAGAAAGTGCTAAGTTACTAAAATAGTTTATACTTGTGATGAATTGTCACTTGTCACTTCTTTATATATTTATTTTCTTTCACTTTACTATATTCTTATTTATTGTTTCTTAATTTTACTTTCTATTTATCCTTTTCTGCATTTTCTAATTTTTTCTTTTTCTTTTTTAATCTGTATTAATTTTTTAATGTTGTAAATTGTATTCTTTAATAAAATTACCATTAAAAAAACAAGAAATAGAATTCCTGGTTGTCACTCATCCTAATTGTGTTTCTTATCAACAGGCTTAGTGACCTTTTGATAGACTTTTATAACTTTTATTTGATTAGCGGTGCAGTGTGAAGACTTTTTACCATGTCTTCCAGAATTCCATTAAGTTTTAGTCCCGGGGCTTTTGAAAAACACCTGATTGGGAATGGCTGCTGTAAGCCATTGAAAGAAATAAACTCTCAGTCCTCTTAAAAGCTCTCGGGTCTAAGATATAGCTTGGCCATTCTGACCAAACATTTCTTATTTTTTCAAAGGATTCTTATACTGAAAGAGAATGATGAGTGCTTACCTGGTAATGTAAGGGCAGAAAGCAGCTGAATGCTCATCAGAAACATCCCAAAACAGCCTTTCATAGATTGCAAAGGATCCCATAAAGATGTTTACATGAGCTTTAACAAGGCACATTAAGCCTAAGACATCCAAACTTTCTGGATGCCATGAAGAATATGTTTGTCCTTCTTTCAAATGTTTTGCTCTTCTCTTTCTCTGCCTACTGCATCCTCTTTTAGCTGTGGAGTGTTTTCTCATTCTCTTGAAGTGGGAGAAAAAGCATCTGGGGTGCTTGGAGCAGCACTTTGCTGGATGCAGAGGCAAGGAGTGGGCACAGGCTTTGAACGAGAGCACTCATAAACAACTTTGAATTGGAAATTGTAAAAAGGAAAGAAATACGTTCTGGAGATCTCAGCGCATGTAAGCATCTAGGAACAGCAAATAGCATTATTCTTCTGAACCACTGAACAGACAGTAAATATAGGAAAAGGCATTGTATATAGGAATTTTTCCCATTGCTGCATTGACAGGCATTTCTCTAGTCACCAAGTTGGCAAAAAAAAAACGAAGTCTGCCTGCTAAATAGTGCTATACCAATAGCTTCAGTGACAATGCTGGTGACAGTTGCTGTCCTTATGATTTCAACATGAGACACTTTAAAGGCAGCAAATGCTGGAGTCCCTGGCTGCATTTCCCCTTTAATCAGTGTTACATGACAGGTAGGAAAACCAGCAACCAGCAATTGCTGGCCTTAACATGGTAGGCCAGGTCTGAGCAGTTGTGAGCAGATGCCTGGAATGTTTCAGGTTATCAGAATGTTACATAGCTAACAAAGAACTAAGCCGTGCTACTGACCTGTTAATTTGGTCTATTTATGAACATAAATCTACTGCTCTTATGAAAAGGTCCTGGACCTGTTTAGTTTGCATCTGGTTGTCTTCTAGAAGAGTGCTAAACTCATGTGTACTAGTTGCTCATGCAAGAAGGGGATATGGGCTGAAGGTTGAAGGAATAATAATCTCAGTTATTATTAATTCCCATGCAGCAGAGCAGACCTAAGTTGGACAATTCTTTATTGCTAAGTAAATGGATGTAGATTTAATAATGCAAAAATATCACTCCTGTGTGCCGAGTACTATTTGATATATTGGACATACTGTAATCTCTATATAAGGGGAACATGTCCATATGAAGAAGAGTTGAAACTGATAGAACTTGGAAAATATACATATTTCTCTACAACTTAGAAAATATCATGTCACGTTTAGATACAGTATCATAGCTCTAACATTTTTTATAATACCCCTGCTTTTCCAGCAGAGGCCTGGCAGGAACAGTTGTCTTCACATCAAAAGCATGTACTTTTAGTTTTTAAAAGTATATTGGCATGTTTTAAACAAAACATCTGTAACTGTTCAATAAATGCTTTTCTGGTCAGTTATTCCTAGCCCAAGAGGACAAAAAAGAGAAGATAGATGTGCAGAGTTTTTAAGTTGCACTTGAAAAGGGGTGGCAAGTGCACACAATCCTATTAAAATTGTCTTTAGTTCACCACCACATGCCTTCATCTGTTTGTCGCAGACTCTGGCTTCTGCCTGTTTTAGGTTTAATTTTAAGGCCATATTTGAGTGTCTTGATTTATCTATATCACATGACATGGCTAAGGGTTATGAGAACTGAAATGCGAAGTACTCGGGCAGGAATTTTGGGAGAAAGTGGCTAGACCCTTTGACTTTCATAGTAGCCGTCTCCAGTTTCATATGGAAATAATGTATCAAGCATTTATTTACAGAGGACAACAGCAGGAACAGGCGGAACAATATGCTTTTTGTGTAACTTTTAAAGGGCCTAAAATCCGAGCATTACTTCCATTCCAGGCTTTGAATCTCCCACACTCTTTCTAATCTAACTCTTCAACCGCTGGAAAAGTCTAAATAACTACCTAAGCCTATGAAGATGGTTTCCTTAGTTTTAGGTGATTTTTTTCCTTACATTCAATTGTGTCTGATTCTCAGAGACTGCTCAGACAAGTCCCTGCAGTTTACTTGATAAGACTTTTCAGAAGTGGTTTGCCATTGCCTCCTTCCTAGGAGTCAGAGAGAGTGATTGGCCTAAGGTCACCCATTTGGCTTTGTGCCCAGGGAGCAACTAGAACTCATGGTCTCAGTAACAGTAACAGAGTTGGAAGGGACCTTGGAGGTCATCTAGTCCAACCCCCTGCTCACCGTCCTATCTTGATGCCTTAACTACTACACCAAACTGGCTGTCTTTTAGGTGAGAGAATCATGCTATATTTGTTAATCATGTTTATCTGGGCAACATTTATAATATTAATGCCAACATATAAATGTTTTTAAATGGTAACACTGGAATATGTTTATTTGGCACACCATACCACATCTTGGCTGCAAAATCTGGATGATACTGGCTGATGGCAGAAAGTTACAAAAGAGAGAGAGAGAGAGAGAGAGAGAGATTTTGTTTTTTGTTACCATATAATTACCATTTTCTTCATGCGTTGTAGCCCATGTTGGCTAGCTCTAGTTTATATCCATAGCATCATTCAATAGATCTTTATTCTCAACTGATTTTAAAGTGGAGGCAAAGATTTTGTTCTTTTATCCTGTATTTTGTCTTTTATTTAACAATGGAAGATGAGGTTAAATCCATTTTTAAAAAGAGGCAATAAGTTCCCCCTTTGAAAAATGAGACAAGATGGTGGGCATTTCAGTTCCTTTCAGTAATATTATATCACAGTTTACCTACATGTGCATTCATGTCTGTGTAATTTGCATGGTGTCTTAGAATACACGACTGATCATTGGTTGCCAGTATTTCAGCTCATACAGATATTTGTGATGTTAGGTTGTTGGGATCCTCTGATCTTGTGAGGGATCTCACGAAGAACGATGGTTCGTTGAGGGCGCTTCCAAGAAAAGGTCAGCACGCAAGGATGCAATCAAATTAAGTCTTTATTTAGAAGTAAAAGTGGAGTAAAATAAATTCCCAGGCATGGAGGCATCCATGCCTGGATTGAGCCCATGGATCAGTCCCATAGGAGAGTAGAACAAGAGCAGGGAAAAAGGGAAAAGCAGGGAGCAGCCCCTGTGCAGGGGTTCTTATAGGGGCCCCTGGCCCCTCCCTTACCCATGTGTGTGAGGGGGCTGGAGGGCCATTAACTCTCCCCAATGGGGCTGCAGGGGCTGGAGCCCCTTGACCCACCAGTGGGATCAAAGGTGCCTCTTTCCTCCCATCTGGTGGCCTTTGAAGAGACTGCCATGGCTGGCACAAAACACCTAACAGATCTTGCTTTTCTTCTTGCAAACGTTTCATCATCAGGCATTAATAATAATCAAACATTATCAGTGGAGTGAGAACAAAGTTTGCTGGTTGTTTATATATGGCATAAACATGATAAACAAATATAGCATGATTCTCTCACCTAAAAGAGAGCCAGTTTGGGGTAATAGTTAAGACATCAAGCCAGGAACCAGGAGACCATTAGTTCTAGTCCCTCCCTGGTTTGTCCTACCAACCTTGACCAAGGTAAGTCAAATACATTCTGAGCTACATATATTCTCCCCTATTGCAGGTATTTGTGAATTTGGATGTTAAATTTTTTCAAGAAGTCCCATCCGAGATGGATATGAATCCATGCAAATGCTAGCTATATTTGAAAAAATACATGGGGCCAAAATATACATACTATAATCATACAATTTAAATAGATGAAAAAACAGGCAGATATCTTGGTTTTTTAATGTATTCCTGATCAGGATTAAAGCGTGCACCAGTTCTATAACAAAAAGCTTTCAGAATAAGGTTGCTGCCTCCCCACCCCATACAAATTACTATATGTGTGATTTGGCCTCCTATTCACCTTCATTCATTTGATCTCTGTGGCTGAGTCTTCATTAGCCATACTGCTGCACAGTTCTGATTTTTTGATATTTTTATGTACATATCTTTTAGTAAATAATAGTACATATCAGTTTTCTGATTACTTAAAAAGTTATGTATCATAAATAATATCATCAGTTAGCCTACATTACATTAAGGTTTACATAATTACCTAAATCTAGTTACACGTTTCTGAAATTAAATATTGCATTTAGATTTACTTACAATTTGGGTACTATTATAAAATAGAAACAGTCATTTTTCCAATTACAATAAATTACATCGGAATTAATTACTTACCTATGTTCCATGATGTCATAAACAGAATTAAAATCACCTACCTTTACACCAGGGGTGTCAAACTCACGTCATCATGTTGTCGTCACATGATGTATTGCGGCTTTTTTCACCTTTGCTAAAATGGGGAGAGGTGGCCAGCGCGTGATGCATCCGGCCCATGCTCTACTCTTTGTTTAAAGTGAATTATTAAAATAAATATCCATTGATGAAATAATCCAAGAATTTGCAAATAGAAAATGATATAAAATTAAAATGTAGATAATAAATTTGCACACATACATAGAAAAGTTGCTGTCTGAATATAATGATATTTACTTTTCTCAGTTCTTATAATTTAATATAACAAGTTCCTATTAGGATTATTAAATTATCTTGGTAGCATTTAATATCTGACTGAACTTTTAATTTTAATTGTATGCATTTTTTGTCTTTTGTATTGGTATTTTATATATGTACGGTGTACATTTTCAGAGCCAAAAGGCAAGGCATGTAATTAAATAATCTATTCATTTTTATTTTTTCTAATTTAAAAGAAATTAAAACATTTTGATAGGCTCAAGGCACTATGCCTCTTGTGTTTGATGGATATTTTGGTCCTGCAATTCCTGTAGCTGTTCATATGCATAAAAAAGAGGAAATTCTTTGTCCCAAACAGAACAGTAGGCTACATTATGCTTATGTAAATTTGTCTACTGTGAAAGGAACAAAATACTAAGACACTGTATTGATTGACTCTGACTTGTTTATTAGAATTCTGTTCAAAATAAGCATTACCATTATAAAGCACAACCATTAATATTACAATACGTTTCATCAAAACAGTTTATACCAGCAAACAAGTCAAACTGATTATCTACTTTGCAAACTATAGAAAGTGCTATTGTAGATTTTATTTCAGTTTCTGAAGCAAATGAGTTAAATTCACAGTTCTGTACTAGATCATCCGACAGAAGGAGAAAATGGTACACAGACTATCATGGTAGAAGTGATGGTCAGATGGTCTTTCGGTTTTCTCTGTCCCCCTACAAAATATTCTCAAAAGCTTCATTCAATCTAACAATCTCTCAATTGCTAAATTTCAGAGTTCCCTTAATATATGATATTCTGTAAGAAGGAATATTTCATAGATTTGCTAATATTTATCCATTATTAGAGTGACAAGGTTATGGGAAAAACTGGATCAAATTTTGAAGCTTTGTTTTAAGATAGCTATTTGTGCTGTTTCTATATCTGGACCAATATTATAGGATTTAATAGTCTGACAGTGTTAGGAGTAGCATCATTGGCCATTTTGTACGGCTGTGGTGATTTAGAAATCTGATTAGCAGATAGATCCACAGACAAAATTCTAAGGTCCACAGTTCTATAGGCACCCTCATTCTGACCACCACAATCTACAGCCCTCAGCACTTTCTCCTTGGCAGTGAACAGTATAGTACTATATCTCTGTACTCTTCCAAGTAGGAAAACAATGATGACAGAGAAGAAGCATCATGTGCTTTACCCTTCTGGATCTCTGTACAAGTTAAAACTGTACAAGGTTTACTTGATGAAAAACTCCAACCACCCCATGTCAGGCACAGCTGTAGAGTTTTCTCCAGATGTATTCATTTAACATCAGTCTTAACAACATGAACATAACTTTAATAACTCTAAGGCAGAGAATCATCAGCACAATGCAGTTCATCAATAAATTATCCAGTCCAGAGCATGAAACACCTTCGTAACAATTCTGAGAAGTTAGTACAACTGGATTCAGTCCAGGATCCCTCCAATTCCACACTCCCCACAGTAGATCAGCATTGTTCACTATTAATCAATTTAGGGGACATAAAATATGATATTTCAGAGCTGTTTAAATTACACTGTCAAGTAGCAGATTTAAACTCATTGAGGAAAAACAATGCACATATTACTTGCTGATTAGACTTTAGTTTTAGGCTGAATATTTGAAAAATTCCTAGTAGTTTAAAGAAACTCAACTCCTGATCCTCCCAATACCCATTTTTTCAAGTAAATACATTGTTTCTGGGATTGAGGCATTTATGTTTTTCTTTGCAAAATGTTTCTTTGCTAATAAAAAAAAAAATAGAAGCAGAACAGATCTGGCATCCAAAAATAAGTACCACATACCTTAAATTGACCTAATTTTGTACAAAGATATATGTACTCCTGTTCCTATTTATTCAGAATTAATGCTTAATGCTTTCTATTTAGTTTGGTCCTTAGTTAAATGCAATTAGGATTTTTATGGGTTTTTAAAATCTGAAATAGCAATATTTTAATTTATTTATTAATGAATGTTTTAAATATGACTTTTTAAAAATCAGCCAAAGAGTTTTATGATCAAAGAAGTATTATTTTAATCATAAATAATAATGTGTTTTTTCTCACAAAAAATGCACCATATGGCTGTCCATTTATGTGTGCTATACAAGTTCAGAGCTAACACTGGTGTTATATTTGCAGATGAAGTTATTGTGTAAGATAGGAATATTTCATTTGTACAGTAGTGGCCAAAATTGTGAAAACCTTTTGGGAAAAGTGTATTTTTGAGGTTTGATGGCTAATAACACCTCTCTTTTTTTGGAGTTTCGAGATAATCATATTCTACTGCTGGAATAGCCTGGGAATAGCCCAGACCTTAATCCAATTGAAAATCTATGGAGCCGACTAAAGAAACTTGTTAGTCAGAAGCGACCCAACAATAAAACCCAGTTAATAGAAGCAATCATTCAATCTTGGTTTCACATTATAACAGCTGCAAAACTAAAAGACTTGGTTCACTCCATGGGAAGACATTGTAAGGCTGTAATTCATTCTAAAGGTTACCCAACTAAATATTAACTGATGTGATAATTTTTGTATATCTCGTTTTTTCTATGGTAATAATTTTTGTATATCTCATTTTTCTACGTGTTTCACTTTTCTTCTTTATACTGTAACTGCTATTCTAATAGCAAATCCTTCATAAAAGGTATTGCATTACATTCTTGATTAAATTATCCTCCATTGATATATAATTTTATGGTACTACTTCAAAAAAAGTGGTGTTATTAGCTAGTTTTAGAAAATACACTTTCCCCAAAAGGTTTCCACAATTTTGGCCACTACTGTACACACAAAATGTTTACAAGGCAGCTGGCACTTATGGGCAATATAAAACTTGGCAACAGTTAAACAGTTAAGAATTGGTGCACAAAACAGGAGAAGCAGCCAAGACCTGAGACAATGCAGCCACTGACCCTCAAGGTTGGAATTGATGTTCATCAGGCCCAGTCAAATGAGCAGGCATTGTGAGAATTCAGTAGTATATGAAAGGCCAGCTATGTTCTAATCTCCTTCTTCTAAAATAATTTTCAGTAATCTTGAAAAACAGGATTAATGAGCTCCTTTTTATAGGTAATTAAAAATTCCATTGTAAGACATAGCTTAGTTATATCGGATTTTTGTCTAATTTTTTTCCTGATAGTTAAAAGAAGAGAAATTGAAAACATATTGTAGACTTTATACTTGTTTCCTGTTTGAAAATGGAGTTTTCCTCTTACCATAGAAAGTATAGAAACAGAATAGAGATCTCAAATGTTAATAAATCTCTCATTCATTATTGAATAATAAAGAGCCATTAACGGGTGGAAATATTACAAGAAAATTGATGAGCCTCTGTAGCTATCAGGGTCAAAATTATGATTACTAGACATACTGATCTGAATGGCTGGGTTCATCCCCCATTTTAGTTGGAAAGTAGGATAAATAGCATTGCTTACTCACAGTACATATCCATACTAATTATTTGGACTGAGATCAAAGCACCTACAGAAAACTGACATAATTGCTTAATCACTCCTTAATGGTTGTTTTGATCCTCTGGGTAATGTTACACTCAAATGCAATGTGAAAGCATGCTCACAACATTGATTCAGGATGGATATTGGACATGCTACAAATGCATTCTATTTTTTATAACAAGTGATACAGTCCTGAGGAAAAAATCTGGAACAGAAGAAAGGTTTAGTGCAAATCAATGCCATAATGCCCCTATGCACACATATTGCAACTGTACATTGGCTATGAAAGCATACTGTTTCAAAGTCTTATATTTGTTAATAAATGACTTATTGCTACCCCATTGCTCTGCTTGGGGGTTGTTCATTTGCATTGGTAGTCTAGTTGCCACAAAAGAGAATCAAGGCTCAGAAAAGAGGTCTCTTAAGTATCACTCAGAGACTATGGCTGTAGCTAGCAGCAGTGCTAATGGATAAGTCACAGACAGAGAGGAATGGCTATTTATATACAGGATGGGAAGAGGAGGATATTATTTTAGAAACTTTATGGTGTTGCTGCTTCATTGTCTCCTTATAAAAATAGATCAGGTGATATAAATGCAGAAGCAAGCTTGTTTACTTACACCCTTTCTGGCTCAGGATGCTGCACTTACTGAGCTTGGAAAAATGCATACTTCCTTGCCCCTTCCCCACCCTACTATTTTTACATCTACTGTAAAATAGATGGCAATTTGCCACCCTTTGATAGCATCAAAAAGTTGCAATTGTAACGTAAAATTTGGCCCTTTCATTGCATGTGCAAGAATCTCTGAACTGGAAACACTTAACATTTTGGAAAATTTAAGACACTTTGAATACTTAAAATGATGATTCCAGCAGATGATTCCAAGCCAGGAATCCATTTTGCTGTATTAGCTATTTTCAGAAGTGGAAATTTTCTTACCTGTTATGTATATTGGAACTAAAGAAGTCCCATGCAAATGTTACTTTCAGGAATGATGCCTGGAACAATATTCACATTGACACAGCAAAAGGGCTTTGAGACAAGTTCCCTTCTGTACAAAAGCAACACTGCTCTTTAATAATATTAATGGTATCTTCAGATATCTACCATAACTTACATATAGTATCACAAATTGTAATGTACTATACTTAAATTCAGTTACTGCTGAAAAATTGGTCAGCTGTTTTCAAGTGAGAGGAATGACCGGCTATGAACCCATGACAACTCATAGCGAACTAGTCAAAGTCCTTCTGTGCTATATTGTTGTTAGGGTCTATGGCACTGCATTAGACAATGGAAGCTGTCAAATGTAATGAAGTGTAGGTGAGGTAGATGTGAGAGGAAATTACAGATGTAGAAAAAGATCCTTATGCTACAACACTAATTCCAATGTAGCATGTAATGTACAGAAAGATGTCCAATATTCAAGGAATTGTGAAGTAGAGTACAGTGGTACCTCAGTACACATCCTTAATTGGTTCGGTGAGATGCAATGAGTGCCAAAAACGATGCGTACCAAACCATTTTTTCCCATAAGGAATAATGTAATGAGTCACAAAGCAGCTGACACTGACAAGTTCTAGCTTGTATGTTAAGTACCAAACAAATGATGAGTACCAGGACAAAATTTTCACATCAAAATGCACTGAGTACCAGATTTGATAAGTTTTAAAGCATTAAGTACCAAGGTACCACTGTATACATATACTATAACAATGTTTGTACATTCTTAACTTGGAATGTGTACCTGCGAGCACATTGAAGAAAGAAAGGCACATGTTCCTAGCATGGAATGTGTACAAGAAGAGCTGGTGATTACAGCATACTATTCCGCTCCTGCCCCCAAGATATAATAAATGGAACCAGTGTATTAAGTTAGCTCAGCTTGAGATATTATGCCATCAAGGGAATAAAACTGCAATCAGTGATGCCTTAATGCAATTCAGCAAAAACAGGATATTTATAATAACATAGGGCTCTAGAGGTTGTTATTGTGTAATTTTCATAGAAACAGAGATTATTAATAATCTTTTTGTGCATGTAGTTATGTTTACACCAGCTATAAAGAATTATACACCAGCTTTAAAGAAAATGTGGACAATGTGCAAACATTCTACATGATTACTAACCTATATCATATACAATGTAGCTCTAGACAATTGCACTGGAATTATGCAATCATGGTCTGTAGTTCAGAAGCTCTTATATAAGATGTACATAGGTAGACTGTGCACTTCTACATTTTATAGTGTTAAGATCAATTGTACATATAGAAAGAATAGTGCTAGATGGGGCATTTGAGTTTTAAAAGTCTTGTCAACTTCAACAGACATAGCAGCAGAGGACTGGAAAACTGCAGCATTTCAAAATTCTAGGAATAAGGAAGGGTGTAAGATCCCATTCTAAATAATGAACGTAGGTTATTTTTTCTCCATCCTTAACCTGCACAGAATATGTCCTTCAGCATATCTGAGCTCAGTGCTGGAAGTGAAAAAGTATGTAATAAATTAGGATGGTTTTTTTTTACTGTACCCAAGTGATTTTTAAAAATGGCATAATGTCAGAAGTGTTTTCAAAGCATCCAGAATCTATACTGGTTGCCCTTGGAGTAAAACATAACCATCTAGTTCCTCTTTAAGTGTAACAATTTCCAGCAGATTAACATTTTACAGAGGATCCAAAAATTTCAAATGATGGTATAATGTACAGAGCTTAATTATTAAAAGTTAAAACCAGAAGCTTCAAAGTGACATTATTTAAAAGGTGTGTTTTAGATAAACTAGCCACATCGCAAAGAATGAAGTTATGAACTGACCACATAATGAGTAGCAAGAAATTGTCCTGAACAAACCAAAAGTTTATATGTCTTGAGGAGCAGAATACTAAACTTCAGGCACTCCAAATGCTAGATTGTCTCGTATCATCAATGTTTTCCGGAGGTCTCGCTCCATGAGTGGTCTTTGGGTTCTCCACTTGTGGGCTTCCTGAAGTCCTGGCTCAAAATAGTATATACAAGCTCCAAAGCCCACCAATATGAGAATTGAGATCATCAAATACATTGGCACAAACCAATCCAAGAAATGAGGCATAACCACTAGACAAAAGGAAAATAAATATGAAGAGCTGGTATTGATGAATAGAAAAAATACAATCTTATTTATTTATCTTAAACATTGCCATATGCTAAATAAATAAATAAATCTAAAACATTTATATAAGTACCGTACCTACCTTTCCACCAACTCTGGGCAACTCCCAATCAAAGAGTAAAAGACATATTAAATAGTTTTAAAAACTATAAAACACATCCAGTTAAAACATTGAATATTAAAAACAACAAAAACCTGCCCCAATCTGAGCTAATGTGACTTCATCCAATTTTCTCCCAATGCTTGAGGGGAAAGCCGGACCTGATGAACTTCAAGGAGCAAGATGTTTCACAGGGCATGGGCTATCATGAAAAAAGGTGCACTTCTAGCTCCCATTAAATGACAATATTTGGGGAAAGAAACAAGGAGTGTGCCCACCCTATCTGATCTGATAGGAAGGGTAGATATCCTTAGGGAAAAGCAGTCCCACAAATAGCATGGTCCAGTGCACATAGGGGTTTAAAAATGATGAGCTTGAATTGCACCTGGAAAAAACTGGAAGCCAACACAGCTTGCACAACAGAGTGTTACATTACTGTGTGCACTGCCACATTCTGGAGTAGTTGAAGTTTCTGTATGCCTTCAAAGGCAGCCGCATGTAGATGGGAGGTGACCAAGGCATGAGTGAGTGTGACAAGGCCTGTCAGTCCAGGAAAGGGCACAATTTTTTTTTTGTCTTCTATGATGCAATGAAATTCAATTTGGCATAAAATAATCTTTTTTCTATTAAACCCAAGGAACTTACCTTGAGAAGCTGGCCTTTTTTCCCCTCTAAGATCTTATTTTAGAACTTTTTCTATTCCTAAGAAGAAAAATAATATATCAGAATAAATTATACAAATATGTATATTTGTTTCTTACAAATCGTCAATATTTCAAAATAGATTTACCGATTATTTAAAGCACTTTTTTATTCCTCCTTTCAATCTTGTTACAATATCCAAACTAAAAACACAGCTGTTACAGCAAAGTTCCATAGCCTCCTGCTCCATATATATAGAACTACAACTTGTTCTCTTCCTTGATCTGGTTTAATGTTGGAATCCACATGTATTTTGGTATTGGGCATTGGGTGACTTCAGTCTTAGTGCTTCCTACCGCAGTTGGCAAGGCCATGAATTTCAAGGTCTACATGCTGACAATGATCTTGTCCCAAGCAATCTTTGGCCTCGACCCTTGCAGGTAGTCATACATTAGATCTTTGTTTATCTTGGAGCAGTTGTGTGATGATCTGAATATGGAGGGGATTACTTCTAACTCACTGTCTTGGCCAAAATCACTTCCTAGTCTAACTAAGATTTTCTGTCATTTCTCCACAGAATATGAACATTTTGATTTATAAAACCCTATATGGCTTGGCACTTCTGTATCTTCAGGACCCCTTTCTAATAAGTGGTAACTCTTTTGATGAAATCATCTCTGGAGAAGCTGCTTGTGAGCCCCCAATTCCATGAGGTGAGGAAGCTGAAGCCAGAAGGTGCTGCTTTTCAGTCATGACAAGTTAGCTTAAAGCAAAGCTGGCTGTTCCTGGAAGATAATGAAAGCCATATTTTACTGGAGAAACTTTTTAAAGTGATTGCGCACCATCTGGAACTGAATTTTGTTCCTAGTTTATTTGGTATTAGATATCAACTGTGACGTTTGGCTATGCGAAAATATATATTATATGACTTTTTAACTCTGTTTATTTTTTAAATTAAATATTTTGAAATAAAATAATTCTAATTTTGTCAGCTATTTTGACAATTTCATTTTTATAGATCCTAATGCTCCAATTACAGACACATGATGATGATTCATTTTACTTATGTGCCACCTTTTTTTCAGAAACATGATACTTCTTCCACCAGCTTTTCCCCACCATAATAACCTTGAGAGAAAGACTGGACTAAGAGATACTACTGGTCCCAAATCAGCTAATAATCTTTCCTTATTAAAGGTGACTTGGACTTTGGTGTCTCAGTCCTAGACAATACTTAAATCCCAATACTCTATTGATTGAAGCTCTCTATCCACTTTGTGCATTGCTTTTTAATTTGTAAACCCAAGGGCAAAATCTATGCATTTTTTTAAAAAATCATAGAAATACAGAACTGATAGTGATCTTCAGAGTCATTGGATCCAAAGCTCTTAGTGCAATAATCTATTAAAGCATATCCAATAAATATTTAACCTCTGGCCAAGCATATTCAATGAACGGAAAAATACAACTTCAGAGTAATTTTTGCTGTTAAACTATTTGTACCATTAGGAAGGGTTTTTGTTATTAATCTTTTTCATATTCAGCTGGAATCTGCCTTTCTTAAATCTTTTACTTGGTGTTCTGCATTCTGGAATGAGAACAGATTTTCTGTGTAACATCTTTTCAAGTTTGCTTTTTCTCAAGGCTGAATGTTTCCAGTTCAGTTTAATTTGTCTTTACAATTTCTAGGCTCCTGAACATTCTCTTCTCTGAACCTGTTCCAATTTGTCTGAATTTTTTTTAAGTGCCCAGAATTAGGCACAAGACTCATGCTGTGGTTAAACCAATATTTTAATCAATGTAAGTGGTTTGGGGAGAAAAATAATAGTTTGAATCTTGGGCTAAAAAATACAATAAAATATGTAAGTTTGATAATAGAGGAATATTATTCACAATCCTACAAATCTGTAATTTCCTAGGAATAATAAATATGTTTTGAGTAAAGAGACTCCATCTTAATTGTGTTTTAAAGAAATGTAGAAATGTCCAGATTGAACAAGAAAAAAATGAACTTGGACCTCATTTAAATCTCTGTATACTATTAAATGTCTTGCTATATTAAAAAATATCTTCAGGGATACATATTTGATGAATTTTATCATGTGCTAAGTCCAGTCAAAGATAGTTTTCCAACCAAATGGTCCAGCTATGGTCAAGTACTCAACTATTCTGGGAAAATCCATACTTTTAGTCAACAGAACTGAATGTTCCAGAGCCCCAAAGTTCTGTTTCCCTTCCAGAAATAACAAATACAAACCATGGAGATGTCACAATGACAAAGTATTTATTGTGGCATTACAATGCAAATTCTGGCCTTTTGTATTGTATTGTGAGATTGGATGCAAATATTTGTATAATGGCATTGGATGAAAATCATTTAATCTGTGCCTTGTGATGATGCAAGTTTCATCATTTATTCCTCCCTTGCCCCATTCACAGAATCCTGTGTTCTGTGAATGGGAAATAAAATAGAGAAGCTATATTCCTACAAACCGCTGGTTTTGTGAAACTCTTGGTTGTGCCAGAGACATAATGTAAATAAATTAGAAAGCAATTTTCCTCTTTTCCGAGATAGAATCAAATCCTGTTTTAAAAGGCTTTCTTGTATAATCCAATAGGATAAAAATATGGGGAATTTTTAAAGGGCTACAATATAAAAATTGTTATAAAGAAACATCAGAAAAAGGAACTTAATTCCAGAGCTTTGCAGTGCTGTGCTAACTCATTCTGATACTTTTTAAAAATTACTTTGTGGCAGTGGTAAAATGTATTTTTTTTTGCTACCGGTTCTGTGGGCGTGACTTGGTGGGTGTGGCATGGTGGGGGGGGGTCATGTGACTGGGCATGACCAACTTTAAAAAAAAACTTTTATAAAGCATTTTTTTACTACCGGTTTGGGTGAATAGATAGTAAAAAAATGCTTTAAAAAAGTAAAAAAAAGGTTATGACAATCACAGCTGTGCCGCGTGATCATCGGAACCTCTTTTTACTTTTTTAAAGCATTTTTTACTACCGTTTCGGGTGAATAGGTAGTAAAAAAAATGCTTTAAAAAAGTAAAAAGAAGGTTCCGACAATTGCATGGCCCAGCTGTGATCGTCGGAACTTTTTAAAAAACTTTTTAAAGCATTTTTTTACTGCCAGTTTGCCCAAACTGGAGCGAACCGGTAGCATTTCACCCCTGCTTTGTGGTCTAGATCCAGTTGACCTCTGCCCTCTCTTTAGACCAATCCTATGGGACCTTTTTGAAAAAAAATATTTTAAACCTTTTCTTTCAGAGAAGATTACTTTAAATTTTCATGCCAATGCCCTTGAATTATGTATCCTTTTGCTCTTTTTCTATTTTTGACTGCATTTCAATTTGTTTTGTATTTTGAACTGAATTACTGTTTTCCCCAACTAAATTAATTACAATTTAGACTAATTTAAGTATTACCTAAAGAAATCACTTGTATACTTTAATTCTGTGTGTTTTATGTACAGTATGTCACTAAAAACATTTAACTGAAAGAAATTACTGCATGCATGACAATAGATTATCATTTGATAATAGATTATAATTAGAAGATCCTTCAGTGAATGGATCCTAAAGGAGGCAATTTATAGTTCAAATCGAGTTCTTGAACACACCTGGTAATACTAGAAAGCTAAGACTCAACTAATCTCATAGCAAAAATAATAGAACCAAAGAGCCAACCCAAGGAAGTCCTCCACATAACAAGCATATTTGACCCTAAATATTTTGAAATCATCCTTGGAATGGAAATAAACAATAACAAGAAGCTGTTTGCAATAGCTTCTAAAACCAAAACAGAATATTGTATTGTCCATTGTGTCTAATTATTGTCTAATGTATTGTCTAATGACCTGAAAGATCTACATTTTGCAATATAAAAATCATACCCACTTCTAGGTTATTATTACTATCCCACCTCTATATAGTATTCACAAATATTATTGAGGAAACAGTATTAATTCCCTAAAATATGTAGATTACAACTAAGTTATTAAGACCTCAGTTCTATACACACTTACCTGGGAACAGAGGGTATTTTTCAACACTCACTATAGAAGAAAACAAAATAAAACAATGTAGGGATTATTAGCATTAAATATATCTGAAAGAGAGTAATTCATTTAGCAATTTACAGTATTTACTCTTCAGCCTCTTGCATAATCCTCATTTCTATCCCTCTCCCAATATGATGTCTGGATTTCAACATATGTATACTGTGAGATTTTTTTCTGCTGGTTTATGAAATGGCTGGTGATGTTTAAATGGCTCTTATGAATCTAAAAGTAGACCTTGCCTGCATATTTGTGTTCCACAGACATATAGGCATAAAATAAAACAATTGGATAAAATCATTCTAATCCCTATTCTACCATGAATAGCTGGATCTACATTCATTTTTGATGTCTCAAACTGGTGGTATATCTAAGGAATGTCACATCTACAGAATTCAAGCTCAACAGAAGTTCTAAAACACTTGAAGTCATGATATTTCATCTTATTAATTATGCTATCTTTATGCATTCAGAAGTAGGTTCAGAATTAGCACAGCACAGAACTCACAAAGATATTTTAAAACATGATCAAAGACTTGTTAACGGCTACCAAGTAAAACCTGTGTACACATATCCCCACAGAAATGCCACAAAAGATGCATTACCTACCTCAATCCATGCTTGCTTGCTTCAGGAGATCACAGCTGCTAAGCAAGCTATTCTAGTACCAGGCAGCTTTTGAAGGCCAGTCGCTCTCTGCTGTGTAGTCAGATGACAAGGCAAAGGGATTCTTCACCCAAGGCAGCCAGAGTCCTCAAAGTGCCAGAGCAGATTGGTCCAGATTGAAGACAGATGGAGCTGCACTTGCTCTGCATGCAGCATGCTGGTGCATGCGGTTGTGAATCATACACTCAAGCTCACTGCTTGATCATCTGCTGTTGCCAAAGGACACTCCCCCATTCCCCCCCACCCCCAATAGATGTACGTTACACTCTGGACCAGTTTGGCATCTTTCCATCCTGCTCTCATTCGAGTGGGCCTCCTCCTTTTTCACCCTCACAAAAGAAGCAACATTGTCCCCAACCAATCAAAATGCCGAAGCAAATGAGGACTATCAACGGTTGTCATAGCAACAAGCCTTCTTCTCTGCATGTGATACAAAGGATAAGGGAAAAGAAAGAGGTTGAGAGATGCTCTAAGCTTTGGAAGATAATTTTCAATTTGACAGATGCTTTCAAATGCATTGCTAAAACATGACACTTCCCACTGACTCCCATCTCAAGCACCACATTCAGGCAATAGTCAAGCTTTTTCCCCAGAGCAATAATAGCCTTTCACATGCATATTGGAACACGTTGGTAGGGTGAACTCAAACTCAGGACCACAGAAAGGGAATTCAAAGCAAACATCAGATTGAGTATCTATTCTAAATATTAAGGTTGCTCAGACTCTTTGATTCAATCTCTCAAAGGTGCTTTGGAGCACTTGGCACTACAAACATGGCACTGCAGCTTTGAAAGGCAGCCTTTTAACACAAGGACTATTGTAGATTTGACTAGTACTTAAAGTATTGCAGGGAGGGACTACATCCACACTTGGAAATGCTTTTTGGAGATTGACTTTACACCCTATACCAGGGGTCAGCAACCGCGGCTCTGGAGCCACATGTGGCTCTTTCATCTCTCTGCTGCTGCTACTTGTTGCTGGTTGGCTCCACAATTGATAAGGCTTTCGGTTAGGACAGGTAGAGGAAAAAGGATGCTGCACTAGGAGGAGACTCTATGATGGGGGAACCAGACGTCCGGTCAGCAGAGGAAAAAGGATGCTGCGCTAGGAGGAGACTATGATGGGGGAACCAGACTTTCGGTTGGCTCCAGAATTGAATGGGGGCTTCCAGTTAGGACTTTTGTGGCTCTTTGAGTGTTTAAGGTTGCTGACCCCTGCCCTACACAGACCTTCTAAACATTTAGTGAAAAACAATCTTGCAATACTGTCAACATGAACTTGAATTTTGTTAATCTTTTCAAATATTTTTGAGTACATGGACTATATATATGGATTGTAAAAGTTTATTCCAGAATCAGTTAAACGTTTTAAAAATATTGCTTTTATCCTCCTAAACGCTCATTAATTTTCTGTAGTGCACCTTCGTTTGTTTTTAAAGACAAGCACACTAATTATAATGGTTTGCGAGATTTAGCATCACAGTGATTGGCTTCACAGTTTCAAATTTTGGAGTGGTAGTACTGTTGCAATTATGGATGTATTGTTGTTCCTTTGGGAGTAGATTTAGAGAAGCTAAAATCGATCTTCTTCATATTCCATTGGTTGGCCCCAAACTTCCACAGTATACAATAAAAAGCAACTTAATAATATTGAAACAGCAATATTGCAAAAGTATATTTGATATTTATCTTTGCTTAAAATAGGTTTTGAGTGATATCCAGTATGGTATAGTGATTAAGGCAACAGGCTAGAAACCAGGAGACTGAATTCTAGTCCCACCTTGGCATGAAGGCAACTGAGTGAACTTGGGCTAGTAACTTTCTCTCAACCTTAGAAAGGAGACAATGGCTAGCCACTTTTGAAAAAACTTGCCAAGAAAACTGCAGGCACTTTTCCAGGCACTCTCTGAGAATTGGATACAATTGAACTGAAGGTAAAAAAAGCCTTAATATTTTGAATGTTATTTTGTCTCCAAAATGGGGAAAAGATTGGAATACTCTTCAAGGCTAAATACCTAGTGGACAGTTACCTTCAGGCATGGAATCTTTATATTTATTGGACAACTACTCCTTTCATTCTTTCATAACATGAAAATCTTAAGGGGGAAAGGGGGGGGAAGCAATCATATCCATCTCCATATCCTTCTCTGGTGCTCTCCCCCTCAGGCTTCCAAGCAGAACTGAGCAGCATTAGCATGAATTTCTCTAGGGGTTAGTCAAATAATAATAGCAAAGAGGAGGAAGCTGTTCCTGCATTTTGAACAACTTCTTAAAGAAATACATCTGCCTTTGTTGTCTGTTACTCAGAAAAGTACTCTGGATTTGGGACCAAAATTGAAGTTCCATATCTAGCATAGCACTGTAAATCTCGAACACTTTCTTATTTGAGGGAACGTGTATAAGCTTGATTCCAAATATTGGTCTGCTTGAGTTTATCCATTTAAATTTCCTCCATATTTTTTTTTCTTAAACAGTGACTCATTCCTATTGTCTTCAATTTTACATTTGGAATACCATTTTAACTTTCTACAGTGATTGCAAAGAAGTTTATTTCTGGACTGAACATGCTTTTGATTAGAAGTCAATGAACTGTGATAGACTAACAGAATTCTTTTTAAGAGACAATATATATGATATATCCTTGAAAAGAAAAAATATTCAGTAACCCCAAAATCCAGGGCTGCTAAGTAGTATTGGAGGAAGTGGAAACCAATCAAGGTTGTAGCTTGCTTCCTCCTTAATTTTTCTCACAGAATTCTCTCAAATGCTGTCTTCAAGTCCTTACTGAGTCCATAATTTTACCGTTCTTATCAATAGATATTTCCATAGAAACTTCTAAGATGCTGTTTCATTACAATTAAAAGTCAAAAGCCTGAAATTCACCCAAACCTACATTGGCTGGCTGTCATTTAGTAGATAAAAAACTAGCATCACTATTTACTAATTGGATTTATACATTTACATACCTGATTTGATTTCATGCTTTTAATTTATTTGCTTTGTTTGTATTTTTAAATTGTAGTCTTTGCTCATAAACTAAAAATAAAATAAAAATTACAATAGAAAAATTAAGATTTTTCTTAATTTGTTTCCAGTACAAAAATAAAAGCCATTTTTAAGAGGTCAATGCAGTTCCCTTCTATTTTGGTGTTCTTCCAAGGACTAGAATGGACAAGAAAGCCCCTGAGCCTCTGGGTTTTGAGTTATGGTTTCAAATCTGTGGTGCTATATATTCAGAAGTCAAACTGCTGCTATATAAAGCTATACTAACAAGCATTTAAAGGATACAACCCAAATGAGTCTCCTTGGAAGTCACAGCTGACCTTCTAGAATGGGGCAAAAGATGTGGCTGTTCCAACTAATTTTTGGAGTAGGACACTCATTTGTGCAGAGTTGATGCATTATTGTTCTATTTTGAATATTGTGTTTCATTTATTGTTTTAACAATTGGCTTAATATGATTAGATACAGTGTTACTGTAAATCACCAAAAGTTTAGAAACAGGTATATAAATGTTATAAATAATCGGGACATAACAGTCCATGCTTTTAAAGAAAAGAAATTCCTTTAAAATCAATACTTTAAATATGTATATTTATTTTTACAAATTAATATACAAAATGATTTTTGTAAAAACTACAGTAAAACTTTATTAAAATATTTGTGTATTTGGATCCATTAACAAAACCTGAAAATTTACAGTAAAACACACCTTACTGCTACATAAACAGTATTTGGGGCTAACTCTATTTCCTTAAAGAGAAAAAATAAAAGAAAACTCAGTATGAGAATTACAATCGCTTATTTTTTTCTATTATTCTTAACCTATTCAGTGTTCAAAATATCTGATTCTTATCGAGAACTGAACTTGAAATTTCAAGCAAGGGATAACAATTTTCTTTTACAGTACAACACTTGGGACAGATAACAGCAGAGGAATTTTACAAGCCTCTGAATGAGGCAGGGCACAGGAGCGCGTTCTGTTTTCCCCTTGAGATAGCAAATAAAAATTAAGTAGGTCATGCAACAAGCAGCAGCATTATGTTCTTTGCAGCCTAGGTTTCACGAGCAGCCCTAATTTTTAGCTTGCCTTGATAACAGAGTAACTGAATGAAAACTAGGTGGTGCTCTTGGTAGCCAAGAGTCATAGTTGCACAATGGAGGGGTGTCTGTAATATAATTTACTCTCTTTCCTTTTTAATGGAATGTGTCTCCACGGGTAGTGACGCTATAGTTTTTTTATTCATGCGGCTTTCCAAGCCATCAGTTTTTAGTTTATTGGTATCCAATAAGAGCAAAAGGGCTGCATGCAAGCTTCGAGGAAAGGTTATCCATGCTGACTTAGCAATTCCGAAAAGAGAAATTAAACCTGTGACAACATTTCCTCTTTTATATAAAGTGCGTGTTTAGAGTTTCATTTGTGGTTACAATCATTTCATTCACGAGAGCCCAGCGCTCCGGGTACTTATCCCTCACTGCCCAAGGGAAAACAGCGAGACTAACGCACGCATGCTCCAAAGCGCCGGACCCGGATCAGGTTCTGCAGCGCAGATCAGCAACAGAACCAGGGCTTCTGAAGTAGCGCGCATGCGCACAGTCTTAACGTGCTCCGTGCAATCGCCCGAATGTACATGCGCAGTAAAAAACAAAAAAAAGCGGTCTAGTTCCGGAATCCGTCTTCCAGCTTCATCTTCTTGACCGCCCGCAGGCGACGATATGATGACGTCACGGCGACGCTAGTTGGCGGTAGTTTGAAAAAGAGAATGCGCTTTTCTGAGTTGTGATAATGTCGACGTTGAGTGCCTTTGGCAAACTCCCAACACTTAATTCTGCGACCATTTTGGTACGTACCGTGACGTCTATAAAACAATAGTTCACGCGGGTAACGTCTGCGCTTGCCGTCCCTTCTCCGGTTATCGGTTCTGAGGTCCTGAGTTGAAAACGGGTTAAAAAAAGCCATTCCGTCCTTCAGCCAGTGGTCGCCAGGTCCGTCTCCTTTTAGCCCGCTTTAACCAGCGATTTGGGTGTTTTCAGCTTGACACGGGAGTTGCGCTGAAACTTTCCAAGGAGCGACATCCTGCGGAATGATTTCGCTTATGGAATAGTCACCCCTCTCGATCCGAAGGGGAAATCTGCAAAGTGGATGTCTATGGAGATTCTCAGTCATCCAGGTCGTGGTTGTCCCAAAGGTGCTTTTTTCAAGAGACAACTGGGCTTCCAGAAAGTCCAGTTGCCTC